AAGTAGTGTGTGTGTGTGTGTGTGTGTGTGTGTGTGTAGAAAGTGGGAAAAAAGGGAAATATCAAATGCAACATACTTTGTCTAAGCAGCCATGGAAGATAGCTCCCTAGCTCGACGAGCGATCGGTGGGATCTTGCGAAGGATGGGATCTTGCATATCCTTCTCGGCAGTGCTCATATACAGCTGCTCGAGTCGTTGGACAACAACAGCCATGATCCTGTGGCAAATCTCGTGGATTTCGGGGTCCTGCGGAACATTAGCTTTTGCCTCAATAGATGGTAGAGGTGATGGCTACCATAGGATCTAGAACCGCGAGAACACCTTCGAGCCAGCTCAGCCGCTCGTAAACCTTGTTCTCAAACTTGATGCTGACAGCGGCAGAGACCGACAAGAGGACAAGCTGGCTGAGGTTTGGAAGGAAATCATATCTATACCGGACAACCACTTCATCGAACAACTCCGCTTGGCGCTCTTTTGATTGAAGCCACTGTAAACACAATATTAGCCCGGCATCTTTGGTACGAAATTTGGATTGATCTCACCTTGATTGTGCCCTCCTCGTATTTTCCATTCCGCAAGAATCTCTCAGTCTCTTCCGCCTCCAGCTGTTCCGGAGTGGGGGGTGGAGGGGGAGTTGGGGCCCTGGGCGCTGGTTCTGGTTCCCCAGTCTGCTCATAAGCCTGAACGTACTCTGCTTGGGCCCTTTGCACCTGGTCCTGGAACTCTGCCTGTGACTTGGCCATGGCCTGGACAACATCGACGAGGCTCTTGACAGTATTGGTGAGCTGCTCAATCTTCTGGGTATCCTGAATATGCACGCGCTCCAAGGCTTGGATCGTCTCATTGTGCTTCCTATTGAACTCGGCGCTAAGCTTACCGGCGGTTTCGTCCGAAAGCTGCTTGAAAGCAGGAAGGAGAGAGCGGCAGATGGTTTTGGAAATTTCCTGCTCCATAGAGTAAGCCAACGGCCTAGAGATAGCTTCGCCGATCCTGGTCATAAACTCGGGCTGGCTGAATATCTGCTTCATGGCTTCGGGAACAATGGCACGAAGCTCGGCGGGAAGAGTAGCCGTTAAAGACCTCGAAATGCTCTCCCCAAGCTTCCTCTCAATAGCCGCACTAGTGGCACCCGAGATGGCAGGCAAAACAGACTGCTGGATGTTGGTCATGACGATACGCCCAATGACTTGTTCAACGTTATCCGTAAGCGTGCTGGACAGAAGTCTAAGAATAGCATCCTGCTTGGCATCACCAGCAGCTTGTTGAACCCTCTTATCTTCATCAATCCGACGATCTAAATAACCGTCAGTGTGGGTTCGACCGATGCTCGCGATAACGGCACTTACACAAATCTGTAATCTCCTTGTTCAATGTTTTGGCAAACTCAGAGGACACGGACTTCTCAAACTTCTTGATCTCGCGGTCCAAGAATGCCGGCGAAAGCCCTGCGATAGTGTCATGGTCTCCGCCCTGAGCTGTCGCCAGAGCTCCCCTAGGCCTGACAGGGGCCAAAACGGTCTTATCCGATTTCTCGTCAGATGGGCCCGACGGACCCGACTGCTGTGCATTGCCCTTGTCCTTTCTCTTGCGCTTACTATTGCCATTGGAAACCGCCGGCTTTTCTTCACCTTGCTCGGGGGCCCTGTTGCCAGGGCTAACGCTTCTTGACTTTGCGGGGCCCTTGGGCGCGTTCTCGGGAGGGGCCGACTTCATTCCTTGGGTTGCCCCAAACTGAAGGTCAGCAACTTTGTCGGCCATCTCGGCGGATTCAACCCCTTCGGGCAAAGTGACCTTCTCGGCTTTTTCGACACCCTTCTCGCATTTAGAGCTCTTCTCACTCCTATTGCTGTTATCGCTGTCTCTATCCTTCTCCGGAGGGGGTGGTGGCGACATCGCTGCAAGCGTACAGATGCCCTCTTTAACAGCGTCGACTGGGTTCTGGGCGCTATTTTTACCATCCCAACCCAAGTCCTCTTTGAAAACACTCAAGGCGGTCATCCCCTTGCTATGCGCCACGTAGAGCTCAAACAACGGTGGAAGGTCACTCTGGGCGTCGCCATCAAGGATATCCAAGCTCATTAGTTGACCCTTAGAAGCAAACGAGTACTCCCTGAGACCGCTGAGGATAGCGGTTGCATCTGGCTTAGGAATGCTGGTGTCCTTAATAGCAAGTCCCCGTATATATTGCGCCTGGGACATGGGTGGAAGGTTGTACTTGGGGGCCGAGAGATGAATGAAGTAGATTGAATTCCTGGTAGGGTTTCCGACGACGATAATGCCGGTCGTCGGGTGATAGACAACCGAACACAACGCATCGGTATCGCTCTCCTGCGGAAAGTTGATCTCCTGAACCGGTCTCCCGAGCGCGAGATCCCACAGCTGGAGCGTATGATTCTGCTTCATTCCAACAATGACATATCTTAACGCCAAACACTTGTGATATGGACGGAACTTGTCCAAAAACATGATAGAAGTAGCCCTGTAGGACTCTCCCGTTGCCACCGCCGAGAACATGAGAATGGGATTTGTAAGGACCATTGGAGGCTGTGGCGCAGGTGCCGGCTGTAAAGAGTTGTAGGCATCATTGCCGGAAAAGTCGATGAGCTCCTGAACATCCCAAAGCTTAAGCTTCCCAGCCTTGTCAATGGAAATGATTACCGAGTCGTCATCCGAAAAGGCAAAGTCTTTCGAAGCCTTGCCTGTATCAATGGTGCGCGTATGCTCGGCGAGGTATTTTTTCGAGGCGACTTCATTATTCCTCCGTCCTTGAGCATATGCCTTGGCAGTAGGAGCATGGATGATGCTGATGGTCTTCCCCCTTCCGATGGCAAAAACATCCGCCTGTCTGCACGTTTTCCTAGCCCGTGACTTCAAGACGCCGTTGCTCTGGCCTTGCTCCTCGCTCGGAGGGAAAACAAACATGTTATTCCAGTCCGGTCCATCAAAGTCTCCGGGTTCAGCCCAGACGACGGCGCCGGAGATTCCAGTTCCAAGAACCCTATCCCCATTGCTGATGGTCACGTTGAAAGTCCTGTCAGTGCTATCCTTCATTAAAACTTTATCCTTCCCATCAAACTGTCTGAGCACTCTGATTCCGCCGCGACCGTGGCTCTTACTAATAGCATACACGATAAACTGGTGCGAAGCGGCGATAAGATTGCGATCGAGCTGATCAAAGAGCCTAGGCATCCGAGCAATGTCCGAGATCTTCGAGACCGGAAACTTAGGGCGTGGCGCAGTTGAGGGATTGATGGTGATGGACGAAAACGGCTTCATAGGGAAATTGTAAACGAGAACGGGCGAACCGTGGGCCTCGGAAGCGGACTGATAGTTATCATCCTCCTCTTCCTCGCGATGCTCACGAGCAGGAGGAATATTCTCACAATCCTCATCGCCAAAGGTCTCCCGAGCGGATGTGCCATTGGCAGCACTGGGGGTCTCATTCACCTGTTGCCCAATAGGCGATTCGGTCACTTCCCGCCGCTCGCCCGCATTCACTACATTCTCAGCCGCCGCAGAATCCGGGCTATCCTTCATCTCTTCCTCGTTCCTCAAGGCCTGATCCAAGGTAGAAGCGTTTTTAGCCGCCTCAGCTTCAATGGTGGCGGACACGGGAGAGTTCTCTGACTGGGCAAAGGAGGATGTGGAAGAATATGGCAAGGGAACGTTCTCAGCTTTCACCTCTCTGGCACCCAGACCACTCTTTCCGTTATTCGCAGGGATCGGAGTGGTAGAGCTTCTAGACGCTCTATTAAGTGGGCTCGTCGCATGCAATTGTTCGAAGGGATTCACATGGGTGAACAAACCTTTGTTCGGCGTAGGACTGGAAAACGGCGTAGAAACGCCCTGAGAAGGCGGTGGCGATTTGGACGGTGCAGCTGGGGGAACAGACATAGGACGAGGCTCAGAAGGGATGGGTGATTGTTTCTGGCTGCCAAAGTCGCTGGGACCCTGGCTCATGTGACGTTCGGGCATGGGAGGGTTGCTGCGAGGAGCCGCGGTAGGTCCAGTGCCCGGCAAATCGTCCTGGGAGGGCTTAGGTCGCCCGAATAATTGAAGCACAAAATTCTGATGATTCGCAGAAGACAAACGATCCGTAGGCCCCTTGGAAAATGTTGGCTCCGTCGGCATCTCCGGTGCGGTGTTCTCTCGTCGCAAACTCGAGCCACCGGGTGTTTCAGATTGGCGGCCCAGTACAGATGCTGCCAGGTCAGACGCCGAGACACTTCCGCCATGCGATGGTTGGGACTGCTGCGACTGTGTATGTGAAGGGACAGGAGGGGGAGATGATACAGACGGGCGTGGGGACGGTGAGGCTACTACTGGCTGTGAAATTTCAGAGATTGGAGCAGCGGGGACGGCCTGGGAAAACTTCAACAGTTGCAACAGGCTCGCAGTTCTACTTGCATTAGCACCATCCACGGAAGGCGACATCGGATTGGCGTAAGGAGGCGGGGTATTCTGAGAAAATATCGGAGGTCCCGACGGGCTCCTATTATTATTATTATTCACTATCTCGGCAGCGGGTTGTGATGTTGGCGGTTGCTGCAACTGCTGTTGGGCCGGCGGCTGTTGGAGAGGCTGGGGCAGCGGAGCTTCTGGGTGGTACGGGGGAAAACCGGGCTGCGATTGATGCAAGCCCGGACTGCTTATTGGCTCGGGAAGATTGTTACGGGAAAAGTGCTGGGAAGAAGAAGCGGGAGGTGGAGGAGGAAGAATAGTCCCCAAATGAAAGGGGGGAGGGGGAGGAAATGCTCCGGGACGAGTAGATTGTGGACTCTGCTGTTGCTGAGGGGGATGAGATTGATGAGAGGATTGCTGATTCTGTTGATGCTGTTGCTGTTGCCCTAATGGGCTGGCAAGAGAATCACTATGTGAAGGGCTCATGACAGCCTGACGACGGAGGCGGCCAAGGAGGTCTTCAATATCCCCGCCGGTGGCCATGATTATGGTAGCCTAGCCTAACTGATGTGTGAGATTTTGGTTTGATTTTTTTTTTCGATTTTTCGATTTTTTTTTTTCCCCCCCCGTTCTCAATAAACGAAGACGAGAGCAAGCAAACTTCAAGCGCTCAAAGTAGCTCTAGAAGTGTGGAGATACGGATGGAGAGAAAAAAAACCGACGGAGAGAGGAAAGGAGGGGGGAGCAAATGAAGAGCGGATGGATGTGGAGGTTAAGGTGTGAGGGCGTGAGGCCGTGAAGGAGTGCTTGCGGCCAACTCTTGTGGATGACACACGAAAGGTAGGGTAAGGGTGAACGGGGAGCCGAGGGTGGTGGGAAGGAAGGAGTTTGGATGCGGTTGTTTATGATGATGGAGGGGGAGGAAAGAAGAGGATGAAGAAGGGGAAGGGCAAGAGGAAGGGTAGGAGGAAGAGAAGGAAAAAAAAGAGAGAGGGCGAGGGTGTTCAAGACTCGCTCACACACTCACCCTCTCTGCCTCTCACTCTCTTTCACCCTTTCTCTGTCGAGTGCCTTCTCTGCTTGTTAAGGTTACAGTAGCTGGTGCAGCGATATCTCAATTGGCGGGCACAATATTATGATACAACCGCAACAAGCCTCGAATCCGTTGCAAAAGTTAGGCGGACAGCAACCAAACACGAGAGATTGCTTTCTTTTTTCTTTTTTTTTGCGGGAGGACAGGGGGATTGTCATGACAGATATTCTACGGCAAATTCTGTTTTCTCCCCTGCTCTCTCTGCCTCTCCCTCCCTCCCGCCATTCCCATTGATTCCGCATGTGTTACGGGTATAGTAAGCTGTGGGGAGCGAGCATAGATAAGAAAAGGAAACAATACGAATAGAAAAAGAGAGAGCCCGTGATAAAGGTTAGATAGAGAAGAAAAAGTCTCGCCAACAAAGGAGCAAGAAGGCAAGCAAGTCAGCTCTCTCTCTCCGCAAGGTGGACCCCAGCTCTTCCACTCGAGTACTATGAGACACAACATTTCAAAGGCATCATACCAGACAGTACCGCCTCCGGTATCATAGCGGTGTAAACCGTGTAATACTCGTACAGTACTGTATAGATACTCTCCACCACGTTCACAGTTCACTCAGTCCAACAACTGTCCAACCGCCCAAGCCTAGCCACCGCAACCTTTACCTCCTGCTTGCTTGCTCGCCTGCTTCATCTCGCCCACCTACCCGCCCGCTGTGCTGCAGTTCACCTCCATCCAACTGACCGGAAGAGTATCTATCATACCCGGAATTTTTCCCCTTCCCATCCATCCCACCCACCCACACATTCATCCATCCATCATCATCATCAATCGTCAACATCATCACCACCATCATCATTATCATCATCATCACCACCACCACCACCACCATCACCATCACCACCATCATTTCTGATCATCACCTTCAACCGAGCACTTTACTATCCTAGGCCACTTTGCCCTACCGTGCCCTACAACACGGAAGAAGGCCCACAACCCTAAAACTGGGAAAGGGGACACTAGGAAAAAAAAAAAAATAGAAAATACCCCGGAATTCTGAAACAAGCGCTCGTACTAGTACAGTAAGTAAATACCGGCAAGGCATTGTATACCAAAACCATCCCCCAACCTTCGAAGCCGTCGGACAAACAATCCAATCCAATACGTCCCTCCCCCTTTGCAAAGCAAAACCTCCCTCCTCCGCTATACTCATTCGTCACCACCCTTCAAGCCTCTGGAGCAAAGGTCTAAATAATAGGTAGCTTCATCATGTTCTGTTTACGAAGGTATGCTCATCTCCATTCCACCCCCCAATCTTCCCCCCTCCCACCGTCCGTCTCCGATTACTTGAGTACCCTGTACCTTACTTCCCTTTCCGCTATCGCCCCCGTCACCATGCAAACTACCATGCCAATCAATCACCCAATGGCTAACAAAAAAATTAAAAAAATACAGCTGGCTCCCCCTCCTCTTCATCCCAACATCCGCCTCCCCCGCCTTCATAGTCTTATTCCTCATCTGCACCTACCTCTTTCACCGACCTTGGTACCCCCCTCCTTCCTCCGCCTCCCCCCACTTTATCGGCTAACAATCCGCGCTAGTGTCTACTGCTCCCTAATAATGCTAACCCTCTTCTCCTCCTCCTGCTACTGGTCCGACCGCTGCTTCCTGGATAGTAACGACGGGCACTGGTTCGAGCCGAGGTTCTTGTCATCCGCCGCGGGGAAGGTACTCAACGCTGCTGCAGGGGCGGTAGGTGCCGGGGGCGGTGCTGCGGTTGTGGCTGCTGCAGCCGGGGGTGCTGGCGGTGGCGTCGGGGGGGAGGAAGGGTTGGGTCAGGTCTGGACTGGGATTGGTCTGGATTGGTTGAGAACCATGTGTGGGAGAAGGGAATGGAGGGTGGGCTGTTTGGATGTTGTTGTTAGGCTTTGAAGGAGGTTACGGGATGGGGCGAGGGTGAAGGAGGGAGCGTATTGATACAATCGGCGCAAACGGGTTTTAGAGATGGGGACACTCTTGTTTTCTTCATTCTTCCCTTTTTCCCCCCACCATATCGATTGGGACAGACGGATGGGGTCGGATTACTTGACTATACCTCCTTTTCGATCTACGTACAGCATCCTTTTACTACCCTTTCTCTCTTTTTTTCTTTTCCTCTCTTTCCCAATGTCTTTGATACCTTCACTTTCCCATATTCCCAAAGCTGTACTTTAAGGAGATCAGCCTGTCTTTACCATTCACCCCTTCCCCCCCTTTCCCCTTGCCCATAGATGCCATGTCATGATAATGTCTAATGCCGAAAAGTAGCGCCTCCGAGAATACTGGGCACAAGTATCGGAAAACTTGGAGAAAGTGGTACACACTGTATAAGGGTCAAAGCAAGGACCAGCCAAAGCGCGAAATAGCGACAAGGAAAGAAGGGAGGGTATCGAAGAAAGTGAGAGGGAGAAAAGAAAGCCAGCCCCAATCTAGAAGGAGATTGCATTATAAGGTATCATAATAATATGCAGTAGTGTATCAAGCCTTCTGCCCCCCCGCCGCTGCCGCTGCCGCTGCGGCCTGCCTCTTCATCCTCTCCTCGGCCGCCTTTGCCAATACTTCCCGCATACTAGGCTGACTCCCCTCCGCCGTTGAAGCACCACTGGTCTTTACCGCGGCCGCCGGCCCACCACCACCACCAAGTCTGAACTCCCCCCCTTCCCACCCCTTCTTCCCCTCTAACACCTCCGCCTCGGGCGGATTATAAAACACTTGATCCGTGAGCGCGCGCCCACCACTCTTCCAATCATTCGCTTCAACCTCCCTCTCAAGCTTATCTACCAAGCAATCAACCCGATATCAGCACCCCCACACTCCTGACAAGCAAAAAAAAAAAATAACAAGTAAGGAAGAAGGGAGCAACATACTAGTAAGATCCCAAAACTCCCTGCCATGGCTATCCCACACAATATGCGCGAGCTCATGACACAGCGTCCTCCGCACCGTCTTGTAATCCCTCCACCCATCGTACCAGTCCGTCCTCAGCCTCAACTCGATCACGGCGCCACGATTGCGGTTCAGGCCGAGGGTCTTGCCATCGTGCGTCGTGTTGCCCAGCGGCTCCATCTCCAGCAGGAGCGGCACCGTCCACCTGTACTTTTGCATCACGTGCCGGATGCCCGGGTCCGCGGCGAGGCGGGCGAGGAAGGCGTGACTGGTCGCGCTGTAGGGAAGGTGGGCGAGCGGGCGGAGGGTCTGGAAAGTGTAGGGTGTGGCGGGGGCCGTTCGTGCCATGGTGGTCGGTTCTGGTCCGTTTTCGTCAAATGTGGAGGGGGGGGGAAGGGTTGGGAGCGGTGGTGGGTTCGGTCCGTCGGACTCGGGCTTTATATATCATATTATCATCACAATGTCATAGAATTTTGTTACACACAATATACCATTCACTTCTGGAGCTTTCTTTCTTTCTTTCTCTCTCTCTCTTTCTTTCCCCCAGTGCCGCCCATTGGCACGGTTGGGCTTTCGTAATCAGATGATTTGTAATCGCTGGAATCGTGAGCCTTGTGTTGCTGCTTCGTTCTGAGTTCTTTTTGTATCGTACTCTAGTCCTGTACGGCATCATACCGCGCTCGTACCTGTATTCCCCCGCCCCGTCAATCGAATTGTTGTCGTTGTTGTTAGACAGGTTAATTCATGATACCCCACTACCATAACTAGTCCAATACGGGTAGAAATATCACGCTGGGTACAGTAAGAGTATGGTGCCGGCACCTTAGAATCAACCCTCACGACAACCGAACTTTCCCAACTTTCGGCGGGCAACAACAACGTCACATATCATTATTTTACTTATTCCTTCTGTATAATCCTCCTAAAACATATAAAGAACACATTTACAGAGCAGATTTCACTCAAGGGGTGTGGTTCTTTCTATAACAGCTGTTAAAGCTGAGGCAAAATTTGGGTGGAGCAAGGAGGTTGGCACTTGTGTGTGTGAAAAGCAGGTTTTTGCTGAGTAATACACAAACACATTGCCTAAAGCAGTATGGTTAGATACTACATTAGGACTAGTGCCCGGACCGGATGGCACTGAGTGTCGATTCTAAGGTGCCGGCACCATACCTTATCATACTGTACGGTACCATCCGATACGATAGAAGTCGGGGATTACATAACTTTACTGTCCAAGTCCAATCCATTCCAGTTCTTTTCCTTCCTTCCTTAGACTACGGTACTTCCTCCCTTCCTTCATTCGGAAAAACATTATTCCGGGAATTACCCGTACTGGTATCGTACCCGAGTATCATACCCGTAGTGTACAGTACAGTACAGTACTCGAGTAAGTTTACGACTTCGCCAATCGACGAGGGAAAGTGGACATCTTTCTCGAAGATTAGCGGGAACATTTGTGGGTTTGCATGGGGCTTGCATGCCGGTGCCGTAGTCTCCAACAGGTCTAACTACCGTATGCGCTTCGTGGCCGAGACCGTCACGGGGATGGCTGGGCTGCTCAGTACCAGTACAGTATGAGCATGTTGTGTATAATAACCAGTCAGTGATCTCTGGTCGAGACCTTGTTCTGTCCTGTTGTTGCCGGTATCATATCATACTTATTTGTATGATATAATAACATACCGGTTAGTTATCGCACATCGGACATTTGATTCCACAGCGTGCGTGCTATCGGATTCCAATAAAATCCTCCGCTTTCGATTACTCGATAGGCAAACTTAAACCCACGATACTTGGAGCACCAGCTCATCATCTCGCACCATGGATAAGCGAATACTGAAAATGAACTCGAGCGCCTCAAGAGCAGTTCCTACTCCAGCCCCTTGCCTTAACACCATCCTACCAACCCAACAACAAGCCAGAACGGGATAAAAAGAAGAAAGCCGCGCAAACGAACAATAAGAGTACATTAAAGCGTCTCAACACATAGGGAATTTAACCAAGGGTCACCCCCCGTTGAAGCGGAAGATACGGGAGATGAAGAGAGAGAAAATGCTGAAAAGTGATACGTTTAACCCAGTTCCTCAAGTGCACTCTCAATATCACCCATGTCAAAGGCATCTAAGCATTTCGTCCCCTCGCACACTTGAACAACCGGCTTCCCGCCGTCCGTGGTGGCAACTTTTAGCAGCTCCTTGTGAAGATCATTTCTGTTCAGCAACCACTCCAATGAGTCTTTCCTGGCCGGGTCGAGCTGCACGAGCGTAGTGTTGGTAAGAAGCTTCGATCGAAGTGTCTTGAGGTGCTTTTCCAGAGTAGGGTCCTTGGGATCCCCCGCAAGTACGACAGAGCGCATTCCCAAGTTTGACGCCACAATGGCGGGCATGAGAGAAGAGAACAAGAATGGGTGCTGGAGTAGTTCGGTCGCAAATGCGGAGCACGTTTGCTGGGCGTATTCCTCCAATTTTGAATCACCAAGCAGGGTTCCTAGACGGAACAGGTTGTTTGCGGATACCCCGTTTGTCGAGGGCTCCTGAGAGTCGAGACCTAGGTGACCATCAGCGACGGTTCGCGATAAGATACTGACCCAGAACTCACCATCTTTCAACCTCAAGATCAAGTCAGACGCCTCCTCAGAAGTTGAAAAGAAACCCCCATTCTCGGCGTCCCAAAATATGTCGATCTGCTTCTGCTGCAATGCATCCGCCCATTGCAAATACTCCACATCGAATGTCGCCTCATACCTATTAAACACATTGTCAGAAAGAAAGACTAAATAACCCGCCAAGGAGCACTTACATGCACAGCAAACCAGATATCAAGAATGCGTAATCATCAGCAAACCCGTCGGTTCCTCCTGGGCCCTCCCTATAAACTCTCTTCAGAATCCCTGTCTCCTCATCATATAAATTTTTCCGTATAAAAGATATCGCCTCCTCCGCATTCTTTCTACACAATTGAGCTCTACGTGGATCTGTTGACTCTAGTGCCCCGGCAGCTTTTGCCAATGCAGCAATTGCTAACCCGTTCCAACTAGTAATAATCTTGTCATCGAGATTTGGCCGAGGCCTTTCCTTCAAACGATGCTGAAGGAGCTTTTGACGAGCAACATTGATAATGCTAGTGATTCTCTCGGCGCTCATGCCATACATTTTGCTCAACTTCTCGGGCGTTGAGGCGACAGATAGCACATTCTAAAACGGCCCATCAGTCCATATGATTTAGCACTCCATCAAATGTAGGCCTACCTGGGCTATAAATTCATCGTGCGGGTCGTTGGCTGGATCGACATTGCCGTCTCTGTGCACATTCCAATACCTGGCGCAAATTGACGCCTCCTGTTCCCCAAGTATAACATCAAATTCTTTTCTTGTCCAAACATAAAACGCCCCCTCTGCAACTTGTCAGACATCCATGTAGAAGAAACCACGTGGGGGGTGCAAACCTCGTTTCTCAGTATCTGCTTTCCTATAAAGTGAGTCCGCATCCTCCGACGAATAGAAGCCACCATCCGGACTCTTCAAGGCATCCAAGCACATATACTCTGCGATATCATTCGCCGCCTCGAGCATTGCCGGCGACTTTGTTACTAGCCAAGCATCGATATAAATGCTGAGAAGTTGTGCTTGGTCGTAGAGCATTTTCTCAAAGTGGGGAAGGTTCCAATTCGCAGTGACAGAGTATCGAGAAAACCCGTGGCCTATATGATCGTGTATTCCACCCTTCGCCATGCCCTGCGTGAATTGAAGGATGGCTTAGCTTGTTGGAAGTTAGCCGAAAGAAGGGCAAATATAGACTACCTGAAGCGTAGTAATAACCATCGACTTTGCATTCTCGCACTCCATTTCACCGACAATATCTTGAACAGTCGCGGGAAATGTTCCAAGACGCAACAAAAAGGCCAGGTTAACAGGGGTGGGGAACTTGGGCGCATCTAAATGCCAGAGTCTTTAGCACCAAACTCAGCAGACTGGATGGAGCGACCCACTTCCAAATCCACCATAGGACCGGTCATAACGAGTCGTAAAGTGCTGGTAGGCTTCCTCAAGCAGGTCCAACTCCAGTCCATCACCTGGCTCCCCCCCTGTTCCTTTAAGACCCTCGTCGGCGAACTCCTTCAATTGGTTCAGGATATCGGACGCGGATGCCACACATCGCTCGTGCTGTTCCTTCCACACGTTTGCGATCTTCCCAAGCACTTCCAAAAACCCGAGCTGGTCTTTCATCCCGCCGACTGCACTTGGGCCCGGCCAATATGTTCCACCGAATACGGGTTGGAGATCCGGAGTGAGGAAGACACTGAGCGGCCAACCACTAGAATATACGTCAGACCAGTGATAAAGTGAGGGCTTTTAGCGGTCCAACCCTGATCCCGTCGTCGCTTGAACCTAGGTCTGGGTCAGCAAAGCACAGCCCTTTGGGCAACCATCAAAACTCACAAAGTTCATATAGATACGATCGATATCCGGCCTCTCCTCCCTGCCCGGTCATGTTAAACTTTGTCAGCCCTACGAGATAGCAAGAGTCGGTACCTGTCGATCTTTATGGGGATGAAGTTCTCGTTCAGAACCTTGGCGATCTCTTCGTTCTCGAAGCTCTCGCGTTCCATAACCTAACACGGAAGGCGATCAATAAGATAACCCATTCTCCGTGAAGGCATAACCCCTTTGGGTAATCCGGATTGATTGAACGGCGGGACTCGACTTACATGACACCCTAATGGTCAAAGCCCGTTAGCTTCCAGAGTAAACGCCCCTCCCCTCCAGAACACAATCGTAGTATACTTACAATGACAAGCCGCATACCCAATACTAACAAACACAATCCTGTTATTCTTCTTCGCAAGCTCCAGCGTCTCCTCATTCCACAACTGCCACCGAACCGGATTATGCGCATGTCCACGAACCTAGCAAGTGCACCACACACACAAAATCAGCCTCCTCCCATTTCCTCCCTTCCCCCAAACGCCAGCCATACCAAGCAAGAAGGTGACAAAAAAATATAAGAATAAAAATAATTCCAAACCTACATAAGGGCTCTGGCTCTTCAATAGCTGATTAGGTTTCAATCCCAACTTATCCTCAGCCCCAGAAGCTTCTTCCGAAGCCTCACTCTCCGCGCTCCCACTCCCAGCACCACCCTTACCAACAACGACGGAAGACGAAGCCTTACCCCCTGACGAGGCAGAAATCGGGGTTGGCAAAGCCACCGTCTTCGCAGCGCTCTTGGAAGCCATGACTTTACTTTATTCCCCAGGAAATAAATAAAAGGGTAAATAAAAGGCGTACGATCGAGCGACAAACGTTTGTATGCAGCTCTTTAATTCCCCGGAGAAGGAGAGAGGGAGGAAGTGAGGCCAAAGGCGGGGCGGTAGCAGTGATAAGGGATACTCTGTGCGGTACGATAACTCCAATAAATAGAAACGAAATAAAAGATACAAAAGATACGGCTCACGGGAGTGATAACGATAAGCTCCACAGGGATGCAACGAAATAAAAATGACCCCCGCGGTAGACTAAGTTGAGTAGAACACGGTACTTTAATGAGCCGTGCGGTAGATCCGGGACTCCACAGCAGAAGATCCGGGGTCGGGAGGGATGGGGAGGGCCTTCAGACAAAGAAGTCGTCGGTTGGCACAATAGTATAATATAGCGTAGCTGTAAGGTTGAATGTGCTCTTCAGACGAAATCCAGCGCAACACCCATCATATAAAAAGGGGTGTGAGGGGGAGGGGGGGGGGGTGAAGAGGGGGGTGAAAGGAGGAATAAGCTCCCGCCCCAACGTAACACTCGCACCCTAACATCGAAGTTCAAAGAAAGAAAGAAGGAGAGTCGGAAGAAGAAGAAAAAGTAAATCAAGGCAAAGCAAATACCGTTATCATTCATAGAGTACCGTACAAGTACAGTACTGGACTGGTACGAGTACCGGACTGCAGGAGTGCACCTTGACTTATGTGATACCAGTGCTCGAGCAGCTCAAAGCCGAGCAGGTTAAGCCAAGTGAAGCGGCTGAGTTCCTCCCCCCCCGGTTGGAATCGATATTGGTTTCTTATAAATACCAGCGTCACAATCCCAGTACCTGTACGAGTGGTTTACGGTGCAGTCCTCGAGTACGGTGGGTGCATAAGCAGAGATACCGTACGAGTACAATACGAGTGGATTCCACCCCGCCAACGATCCGCACTCTCAAAAGTATCCCAAGTGCTCCAGCCTACAGGACCCTACAGTTGCTCGTACATATCCTTCCACCGACCGGCTGCCAGTTCCAGGAACCGCACCCGCCCGAAAAGAAAGGAAAAGAAAAAAGAAGGTCCCATCGCTTGCATCTCATCCTATCGTTGGATGGATGGCGGTCTGGGTGGATGGAGGCGGGGGGTGGGGTGGCTCGTGTAACGGGTGTCAAGCACGGGAAGGTATGGTGAATAATTATTGGTGTTATTACTGTACATTCTCCTCGTGCTTTGCTGCATCTGGGCTGCCGATGTCTCGCTGATCTGGGCTCTGGTACAAGTTCGAGTACAGTGCTCGAACACAGCACTTGTGAGCGGGGTAATAAGGTAATACGGGTATGATAATATGGCATGATAGATTAAATTACGAGGTTTCGCGTACCGCACTCGAGCAGTACAGCACCCATGCCTGCTCGGCGCGGTACTCACTAACCCTAGCCCTCTTCTCTTCTGCGCCTCTCAGAGTTCACAGAAATCAGGGTCAACGGCGGGAGGAGGAACGCCTATCGAGTTGGTTCTATTTCAACCTATGCCATAAAGGAGATGGTTTACTGTACACAGCCATGAAGAGGAGGAAATAAAAAATACCGACGCCCAGGAATGATAGGCTGTATCACCTCAGCTCCCATCCGTACGCATGTTCCATTTTGTTTCCAGCTCCTGTGATCACACTCTCTCACTCGTCTATGAAAACTGAAAAAAAAACTGAAAAAAGGATCGGCATTGTCCCAATTCTCCTCCCCTAAGCAGCCTTGAGCTTCGCAGCGGCTCTCCTGTTGGCGAGGGCGGTGGCGGTGAACACATAAAGAGCATCCTTGAAGGCGAACAGGAATGCCGCGGTGAGAACACTCTGGACGAGCTTCGGCCCAATACCGCCGTAAAGACCGGTCCAGCCCTCCTCCTTGACGATATTGTGAAGCGACTCAAACACGGAGCGTTTCTTCTCGCCCTTCCCCGCAACGTGCATTCTAGACTTGATGGTGACTATCCAATCGTTAGTGCCCAGCCCACCCCACCCTCATGGGCTATGGGACTCACTGTAAGGGTATGTCAAGGCGGTAGCAACTAATTTCCCCAAGGCACCCAGGAAGAAGGCATCCTGAGGTGTGACGGATCGCTTCTTACGTCTCTCGAGCACATTCTTCAACTGCTCGAAAATAGTGTATTGTAGGATGGGATTGACGACCAGCACCAACGCGGGAATTACGCCCGCGAAGAACTGGCCAATCCCTCCTTCACGGAAGAGATGACGGATGGTGGAGATGGTGGAGGGGGCTTTGGCAGGTGCTTGACCGGTGGGATCCTGAAGGGTGGGAAGGTTGCCAGACGGGGAGGACGGGACAGCAGCCCGCTTGCGAGCGGTCATACGGGTATTTACCACCCAGATGGGGTTTGTGATCAAGACCGTAGCGGAACCTAAACTTTGTTAGTTTACCGGCGGAGGTGACTGATAACGAAGGGGAGCCACCCGCAAGTGCTCCAGCAGCCATCGCCTCCAGAGTCGTGAGCTTAGCTCTAGACCTTCCGGCCCTGAGAGCAGCTTTTTCGAAGGCGGTCCTGCTCCATTCGTACCCTGCCCGATGAAATTAGCGGAAATTTCGAGTGAGCGGTTATGTAGCGAGACAAACAGTAATAATAGACAAAGTTTGTAACACTGATCCCGAAAACGGCGCTGTTGAGACCGGCGTATAGACCCGAGATCCCTTCACGCTGGATGATACGACGGGTAGCGTCTAGGACGGTGGAGTGTGCACGTTTGGACTCAACTTGCGAGCGAGTGGAAAGGGTGATTAACGGGTAAGTCAAAACCATGGACAAAACTCCACCGCCTACAACGGGTCATATCAGTTGTTTGTCGTGCCGCGAGAGACAACGGCCCCTACCAGCGCCAGCAATGGCGTGAAGAACCTATAGAAACATTAAAGTCTGTTGCTCCATGAGGGGCGAGTAAGGGATGGTACATTATCGCTCTGAGCAGAAGACATTTCTCCTGTATCCTGTGCGGTAACTCGTGCGTTTCGAAAGGCTTGATGGACACAAGAGAAACCTGGGAGAAGGGGTGCGGAATAAAAGCAGGAACAACGTTAAGTGAGAAGGAGAGGCGACGCGAGGAATAAACGGGAGAACATGGAGCGACGGAGCATCCACGGGGAGGGCGAAGGGGCCGGAGAACGTGATTATGGGCCCGCGGATGAGGGCAAAACTTCTGACGCCGGGAAACAGCCGAGGTACTGTAGCGGGGAATCCTTGAGTTGCCGGAAGTGTTTAGTCCATGATACCGTAAATTTTGGATGCTCCCAGGGTTTAAGCGAGACTTTGATCTTATCTTATCGACCCATCACTGCTTTGATTGTATTATCATAATTATCATATCGGATTAGACTAATCACGTGGTGTTCAGGCTCAAAATTCAGCATTAAAAATGAGTGAGATCTTATGATGCGATTCCTGAGCAAGCCACTCATTCACGAGTCTCACCCACCTTAGCGCCATACAATGAAAAGGACAGCTAAACAGGGGTATTTTCCAACACTGTCTCTCTTTCCTTCCATGTTTCTTTTTTTGCTTATTCAACAATCCAACCTAAATTCCTGATACTCGAGTACTACCGGTAGAGGAGTACCGTACTGTACCTGTCCTCTCTCTGCAGCTTTCGTTTCTTCATAACCGAGCACTTCCTCACCCTAGACTATCGCCCTCGCTCTGCATCGCGTAAGCCGTGGTTTAGTTTCCCAACTCTAGCCATGGCGCCGCCGACACCCGCCTACGCAAAGTCAGTCATCAAAATCCTCTTCATATCATTGATATTCGATTTGGTGAGCCCCCCCCCTCTTCCAGTGTGAATTTGTCCGTTATGCTGCACCTGTTTGTCAATAGGATCCTTCTATACTGACCCGTTTAGCTTTCGTTTACTTTAATTCTACCGCTATTCCCCAGACTACTCGCATTCTACCGCGCGCAGCCTGATAATGTAGTGCTCGAGTCTATTTTCACTACCCTAAATGCCTTCAAAGCCTCGTTTCACCGGCCAATCTCCTCGCGCTTTGATGTAGTCCTGCTCGGCGGGGCTCTCGGGTCCCTATTTTCATTTCTTCAAGCGATCTCGAGTCCATTCTTGGGTGCTCTTAGTGACCGTTATGGGTAAACACCTCCACCCGAGCCTCCAACCTGTTTGCGGTGTGTATGATGCTGATATCTGCATCTTTAATTTCAGGCGCCGAACAGCTCTATTGTATTCCATGATTGGAAACATAATCTCGGTGCTACTTTGGGTCGTCGCGACAGATTTTCCGACATTCCTGGCTTCCCGTGTGGTTGGTGGCCTGTCGGAGGGGAATGTGCAGATGGCTATTGCTATTGCCACTGACGTCTCCACCCCGGAGACTCGTGGTGCGACTCTAGCACTATTGGGTGCTGCATTTTCAATTGCCTTTACCTTCGGACCTATGTTGGGAGCTTTCCTTGCTTCCAAGACAATCTCCTTAGAGAACCCTTTTGCTGCCGCAGCTTGGTTCTCGCTGGCACTTTTGGTGGTAGAGACAGCGTTTTTGTACTGGAAGTTGCCGGAGACCTGCCCTCTAAACGAAGAGCCCAGCAAGGTTGACGTCCAATCGAAGCGGGAGGACGAGTCCGAAAAGAAGACGGGGGATGAAAAGGAGACAGGGAGACCGGGTATCCTTCTCTTAAACCTTACCCACTTCTTGTTCCTCCTTATATTCTCCGGAATGGAGTTCTCCCTACCGTTCATGACCTTTGACCTGTTCAATTACACCTCAGCGGACTCCGGCAAACTTCTAGGATTTGTCGGTCTTCTAGCCTCGATTCTCCAAGGATCATTTGTTAGGAAGTGCGCGCCAATCGTAGTGGCAAAGACCGGGCTAGCAAGCGCTGGTATCAGCTTCTTCCTTCTTAGTAGGGTCAACACTCAGTCACAGCTATACGTAGCCGCAGCATTCCTCGCGGTAACAAGTGCTTGCGTGGTGACTAGCCTTACCGCACTGGCCAGTTTGAAAGCCGGTAAGAAGGATATAGGAAGGGCACTCGGCAGCTTTAGATCTGCTGGTAAGTTTGTCTCTTTTTTCCCCTCCTCCTTTTTGTTTCGTCTAGTCGCTTGTCGACAGAATGGGGCTAATCGACAAAAACCAATTGACAGGCCAGATTGGAAGGGCTACTGGACCGATCTTGTTCTGTAAGTCTACCTCGCGCTGAGGATGTTACTGGTCCACCGTCGTTTCCATAACTGATGATGATATTATGCAGGCACCCTCTACTGGTGGGCCGGAAGGCAGACAGCGTACGTGGTTGGGGGAACGGGAATGGTAGGAGTGGCGGCCCTAGTTTTCACCGGTATTGTGGTGGACTCTGAGCAAGCGATGGAATAGTACATTGTAAAGGGGGGAACATGGAGGTAGGAGGGACAAGTCCCTTGACCTTACCAGTAAATTCCTCGGTGATGGAGGACCGTCTGCATACCGGTATCTGGACAGGCGTCCGTGCCGTGCTCATATACCAAGATGCCATCCTGTAGCGCGGCACACCGCACTTGTATACCGTTATTGTACCGGTACATGTCCAAGTCGTAATCTGAAAATGAAAAGAATAATAAAAAATGGCAATCTTATTCTCGTGGTGGTAATCTCGCCATGGGCATTGACGGTGGCACACGGAAGCATTTTGAGGGCCGGAAAATCTAAGCAAACGCCATAAACTCGGAAGGCAGACAGTCCAAGTTTCCAAATCTCGGCCATATAGTCAACACCTTTAGCACCCGAGAACCGGTACCACAACCCGAAAGGAAGAGGGCGAGAAAAATAAAAAAAATACAAGCATTGTACGGTACTGCAAAAGAAATTCAATCACTAAAGATCACACACGCCATGTACTTGTACCGTAATGCAGCCTGCCGTGCAAGCCCTGTTTCGCCACAAAGCAGATCCATCCAGAACCCTTCAATTATTTCCCAAAGGCAAGGGGAATGGGAAAGGCTCTCACTCGCAATGATTTCAAAAGGGTCGTCAGTGCTGGAATTTCCCAAAGGGGTTCCTTTTCTCACTCTCCCAACACAATTCCCTACAGCCCACCTCCCTTCATTTTAGCCACAAACAGCACAACGCCCCAATCGTGGTCATTACAAACGACCAATCCAGACCCCTATTGTGGCATTGGGAGCAATAAAAAATAAAAATAAAAATAAAATAGAGAGAGAGAGAGAGAGAGCTGAAGAACCGACAACTCTCTTCGAAATGGATCCCAGTGCCGGTATTATATTATCCCTCAGTCCACCGGGTGCTGCGTCAGAAATGTCTTACATGGGAGAATAACGAGATCTGGAAGGTACGGTCCGGGTACTTGTGTGATATCCTTCCTCAATGGGTAATAAATCGCTAGAGTTTCAAACTGAGACTTTATCCCGCGGATCCCTTGGACGTGGTGACAGCCAAGGATACAGTTCTGTGATCATAAAAGAAGGGAAGGGAGAAATGGGAACAAACAGAGAGGCACCGGATTGGGTATCACACTCGCAGGGTAGCCAAGCGTGAGGGAAGGCAAGAGATTGGGATCCACGATACTCGAGCAAGCTGACAGCCACGGGGTACGAATCAAATTCGCGTACGGTACCCGAGTACACAGGGGAAGCAAGGTAATATAGAGAACGGCACGGGAATGGAGGAGGGAAGGAAGGGGAACTCGTATCCCCGCGCACTCATTCCATCTCTCTCAGCTCGACGGGCAAGCGAAGGGGGCGATAGAGATGGTACGAGTACTCGAGTACAGTACTGTACTCGTGTTCTCACCCCGCCCCGCCAGGAATAGGGAAATGACAAGTGCTTCAAACAGATGAAGCCTCTCTTCCCTGTCGGTTTTTCCTCTCGGTGAGGGCGCCGATACCGCCCGGGTACTCGAGTACTGGTACGCGTCGCTCCTGTTGTAGAGTGCTTGTATTGTACAAGTACTGGTACGGCATACCTCTTGTGATTGTTGTTGTTGTCGTCGTCGTCGTCGTCGTGGCCACTCCTGCCGGTAGTGCTGGTGGTAGACTACAGAGCGAATTTCCGGTCGGGGTGGCAGGATCGTCGGACGGGGTTTTGGGAAAGGTATCATATCATACTGCGTAATGAAAGTACGGTACTAGTACAGTAACGAATTGGAGTACGAGTACCGTATTGTACTCAGCTACCGTAGCATTTGTTCCGCCCGTCTGGATCAAGTTGGATTGGAAGGGGTGGATAAAGTGTTTTCTTTTTCTTAATGATGATGATCCTGGGAAGGGGAAGGAAGGAAGGAAGGGTTGTGAAAAAGTAATAACTTTGTTTTTCTCAAGCATTTTCGGCATGATATGGGATGAGGGCTAAACCGGAACCGGGGATTTCGGCTGCTGATGTTATGCCCATGCGCTATTGTAGAAGTAGCTCTGGAATGCCCGGCATGCCCATGATAACATACTCGAGTATGTTACTCAGCAATCGCATGCCGAGATGCACGTAACCCCCGTGATGATGGGCCCAGCTGCAAGGAGAGGGAAGGGACTACCGGTACGACCTTGTTTTACTCGTACTCGTACTTGCACTGTGGGTACCGTACAGTGAGTGCTACACCACAGTTTACCATACTGCCTCACCTGTGCTCCATCATGAGCAATCAACCAGTGAACAGTCAATCGGTCAGTCGGTCAGTCGGTTGATCAGTTGATCAAGTTTACTCCACGAGCAGTACAGGAACCGCTCCAGCACCGGCGCGGTACGGTTCGGTTCCTGGGGCGGACACCAGTGTTCGAGTATCACAGCGCAAGTTACAGCGTCCGATTGCCAAGTCTGGCCAATCACAGGCACAGACACCACGAGCGCTCGAGCATCTCAAACTATAGAGTACGGTATATAGTCTCGGCTCCACTTTTTGACTTTCCACGAGGATGGAATGTGAAGATGGCGAATGCGCGATGTTTGCACTGGCACATTTCTTTGTCGGGTAAACCTTTTGGATACCATGCTCTTGGCAGAAAAACCTTTCGGATACTATCGACCGGGAAACATACCATCAAAAAAGTGAAACCTTTGTACTCATACACAATTATCTTCCTTTGCCAAGAACTCTAAGAAGATTGCTAAACACCTTCAGTATTACCTAGTTCATCTTAAAAAGTTGGGGAGAAATTTTTTAAAAATACTAGCAGAGTGTGAGTATTTCATTACTTTTTCCCAGCACTTTTTTTTAATTTATTTGCATTTTTGAACAATAAAAAGATGGGTGGAGATGTGTAAATATTTTGTTGTTCGTTGCAAAGGTTTCACTTTTTCGATGGTATATTTCCCGGGGGATGGTATCCGAAAGGGTTTACCGCCAAGCGCATGGTATCCAAAAGCTTTTTTCTTTCTTTGTCTCTCCGGTGGTTCCGGATTCGAGATTGTCTGGTTTGCTCGTGTTCTATAATAGCATCGCACCAGGTATGAGCAGTGAGTATCTGGTATTGTACTGGTACAGTGCGCGTACCTGTGGCTGATGCTAGCGTCCCGAATAGGATGCGGTACAAGCACTGGTATTCCGCCAATACCGGTACTCGAGTACCTCACTCTTCCCAACGCCCTTTCATACTTGTGTTGAACTGTATGATAGAGTGACATTATCGCCAACTTTGGCGGGAACTGGGGAACTGGAGAGCGCGCGAAAGTTATCGTGATAACGCTTGCCACAGATTCAAACTACCGGCGCCCTTCAAGGCAGTGCTCCTGCAGCACGCTTTTGCTGCTCCCGTGAGTACCGGTACCGGCACCGGCACCTGTGACTGTGGGGTAGGGGAGAGTACCGGCAGCACTGGCACGAGTACCCGTACTCGAGTACTTGGACTGGGTACGGCGCGGTAGTCCTCTTGAAATGTCTTGCCTCCTTTATCTAATCGCTGTTTCACAAGGGGCGTACCAGTGGAGACGCTCGGGCGCACACACCAATCGAACAATGTGGTTGAGTCCTTGGACCCTGTTCCCGCGCTTCCTCATCCCTGAAATCGAACCCCTTCAAACACCACTCTACTGCACCCTACAGCACCGTGGCCACCATCTTCTTCTCTTCCCTTTCTCGCCAGCCTGGGGGACAGGAGATTGGTCTGCCCTTTGGAGGATAGCTCCTGTGGAACCCGGTACCCACGGTTGGACAGGAAAGGCGGGGGGACCGAATCATGGTACTACTCGAGTACCTGCGAACCCATGCCCAATCCTCCTCCATCTTCTGCCCCGTCCAAGTCCGGCAATCCACCCTATCCTGCCGCCCTGGAATCCTCACCATGACATGGGAAGTCCCCCTGGCCGCCCGGATGCTATATATCGCGCGCCCACCACCCTCTCCAGACCTTCCCTCTCTTTCTATTCACCACGACAGACGTTGAACTCGTTTTTGTCCTACTATTCTCGTGACCTCTTGGACGCAATCACTCTTTAAGTTGCTTTCAAAGTTGCCAGTCGGTCGTTACCCACACACTTTGCACCCTCTGGTCTATTTCTTTCTTCCACTTCCCCACTTCCCTTTTAACGACAAAGCCTCAACTTGTGGGTTTTCGCTTTTTCCTTTTCAAGGGCTGAATATCAAGTTTTCAAGTCGAGTGTTCCCCTACGAACGACCCCTTATAAAGGCTGAGCTTTTATCGTCAACGCTTTCAACAATAATAAGAAGATACCGATTTTATTATTTACGACTGCTTGCCGTCAATACCAACTTTGTCAGGAGCAACCTCACGATAAACCTTCCATTTTATATATATACAAATACAGGGCTGTGCCTAATACCTCAAAATGCGTGTTGCTTATACCACAATTCTTTCCGCTGCTCTCGCAGCCAGCGCGCTTGCATTCCCTTTCCGTGGTGCCAACCAGAAGAGAGATGATGCCGTCGAGATTGTCACCGAATGTACCACCATTCAGTATGTTCACCTTCGATCCCTTTCCTTCCCTTTCCCATCATGGAAAATCAATGACTAACTTGACCAATCGGATGACAGCGTGACCGAATACGCGACCTCGGGACCCTCGCCCTCACCCGAGCCGCCAGTCGTCAAGCCGAACAGTGATGTTGATGCGCCAGCGCCGACAGGAGACTACACCAAGTACCGCTCCAAGTCCCGCCGTCCTCGTCCAACATCGACCTCGGCACCAGAGACAAGCCCACCACCACCAGCCGTTACTCCCCCCATTGAGTCACCAGTTCCCACGTCGAAAGAACCGGCTGCTGCTCCAACCACTTCCCCTGCTCCCGCTCCAAGCTCCCCTGCTCCCTCCGGAGGCTCCTTCGAATCCGAAGTCCTCGCAGCGCACAATGACAAGCGAGCCCTCCACGGTGTGCCAGCGTTAACATACGATAAGACCCTGGCTGACTATGCAGCGGGTGTTTCCGCTACCTGCAAGTTCGAGCACTCTCACGGTCCCTATGGCGAGAATCTCGCCGCTGGATATGCCAGTGCCGCAGAAGCTATCAAGGCATGGTACGATGAGGAAAAGCTGTACAATTATGCTTCCGGCGATTTTAGCGTATGCGTCACATCTCATCTAATGATATTTACAATATAGTGTGATGAACGGTGCTAATTGTGAATATGTGTATATAGTCGGCAACTGGTCACTTTACACAACTCGTTTGGAAATCCACCACAAAGGTCGGTTGCGGTGTCAAGGCCTGCAATGGAGCCGGTGGAACGCCCGGAGAGTTCCTCACGTGCAATTACGATACCGGAAACGTGATTGGTCAATTCCAGGCAAATGTTCTGCCTCCTGTTTGACGCAGCTGGCTAGTTCTCTGGTAAAGGGATGGCAGAATGGTTGGTTCGGGTGTCTGTCTTTCTTTCTCTCCTCGACAACCCTTTTTGGCAGTGCCCTGGCAGAAGGAGGGAAAAGCTGAAGGAGAAGTGATGGAAATCCCCGCTGGTCAAGAGCCAAATAAAATAGAAAAAAAAGGAAGGCTTTCTGAGAAATTCTTTATACATATGTCTGTTCTTGTATATCTTTTATAAAAAAAACCTAGCGTAATCCCGCTTACTTTGCTTTGTCTGGACGGGCTTTGGGAGTATAGCATATTATCACAACATTTTATCGCACTGTACTGTACTACATTCGGGATGTGAAATAACAAGTAAAGGGATATCCATCCGAAAAGGGGGTGTTTGTTTGTATTTCATTTGTTCCTGTTGATCCATTTCACAGTTTTGTATGATTATAGCTGTGTTTGTGTCGGGACTCCAAATACCTGTTTTGTTTTGTTTTTGTTCGGCGTAATTTACACTCGAGGGATTTTCGGTTGTCGTTGAAATCTCTTTTGCATACGTGAGCACGGTAGATTCAAACCGTCAAGCTATCATTACCCCGAACGGTGCACGACATCAACCCACACCCCACCGACAACCAACGTCCAAGAGTCCTCCTTCCCCCCCTCCCACTTTACCCAGCATGACCTAGGACAGTACGTCAAATTATTTAGCGGTGAATGGATCCAAAGTCCAGAGGTTGCTGTTCGTGGAACTTTGGGGGGGTTATCATACCCGGGTTACTTATTTTCCAGTACTCGCACAGCACAGTACCACACAACTACCGATAGACTAACCGCCATCGCATCCTGGGCGGATGGAGCATGAACTTGCACCCTCGTCCTCTGGGAGATTACGGCTACGAGTATGAGCACAGTAGTGATTTCCTTGTTTGCTTGTTTTTTTTGTGCCGGGCATGGCGTAGTTACTAGTACCAGTACTGTACTAACATCATTCCATTACGGTAGCTAAATAGTCTTCAATCGGGACACTAAATCCGAATACCCTACCGGTAATAAAGATCTACTCGTACTAACCCGTTTTTTTCCGTCCCTTATTGTTTTTTTTGTTTTTTTTGTTCCTTACAATAGTGCATTATTTGCCCTTTGGGAAATTGATTTTAATGGGGAGCGGCTGAGGTCATATAAATATGTATCATAGCTTTTTTTCATTTTTCATTTTTTCATTTTCACTCGCGGTTTCGGGACGGAAGTGAGGATAAAGAGAAAAAACCTCGAATGTTGTGAATACTAGTTATTGTACCATGTTAGGCTAGCGCTTGACAATTCCTCGTCTGGTAAGTGCCGTGGTGCCCTACCGGTATGAGTACAGTACTCGAGTACAGTACTTGTATAATAGTACTTTGCCATTAGCCTATAATAGCCTATAATCCCGTGAATATTATCGTAGAAACCGCGATAGCAGCATCCCTTCCTTATCACACCCCCAGACTGCCATAACTTCCTTCCTTCCTTTTCAAGTTGCCAGTTCCTTGTTGCCATAATTGATGTTTACTCACTCGCTCGCTCCCTCCCTTGTTCTGCACTTTAGCACTGCACTGTACTTTGATATATTACAACAGACCAGGAAAAAAAAAAAAGTATACTCGTACAAGTACAAGGCTACAGTAGTGAAACGGTCGTTTCCTATAAAGCATGCATGCACGAATGGATGTATGTATGTATGAAAAGGTTAATACCCTGTGATATACCTGATACACAGCCCTGCTCCCTTTCTTTTCTTTTCTTTTTTTTTTCTTTCGGCACATACAGGGTGGTAAGGCAAGGTAAGGTAAGGTAAGGTAAGGTAAGGTAAGTAAAGTGTAGGTCTATTGGCCTTAATATCCGGTTGGAGAGAACATTCCGGTACCGGTACCGGAGCTGAAGATAGGGGCGTAGGAATGTACTGTACTCTACCGCTGTATCGGCGCTTGGATAACGTAGGAGATTTTCTCTCAAGAAACATGTATTCTTTGGTGTGGTCGCTAGATTCGGATACAGTACAGTGCTATTAGGGAGATTCAAGGCTCTCGGTACGCTGCGAACCAAGTATGCGGTAATTATACCCCGCAAATTTCCGCGTACCGAGAGCTTTGAATCTCCCTATCGGTACCCACGAAGGGTGAGTACAGGTACTGTACTGTACCGGTATGGAAGGAAGGAAGGAAGGAAACGAGCGAGTAGACTAAGCACCGTACGATCCTGCGACCAAGGGTCATGTACCGTATTATAAAGTAGTAGTAATACGGTAGGTTCCCATGTTGCGACCAAAATTGCATTACTTTAAGGATCATCAACTCACCCCCCCCGGCTTCAAAAAGGGGGAGAAAGAAAGGAGGAAAGAACGAACGAACGGGATGAAATTTAATCCAGGTATCATAGCATTTTGTGCTTTACAATTTGCTCAACTTGTCCTGTTTGTGATCTTTGTCGGACCGGTGCGAGTACTGTACTCGTAGTGACGGCTGAATACTTGTTCATGAGTGTTGCAATGTAATTTAACACTCATGGCTTTTTGGTAAATTCCCCTTTTACCCCCCTGGACACCGGTTATTTCCGCTACTTGTGCTCGTGCATCGTCGCTTCCCTTGAAATATTCCCCCCATAGTGCACTTCTCTCACAGCTGTTGGCATATACATTACCGTACTGTACCATACTGTGCCATGGGGTGGAATTCACTCACTTCTCACCCCTATCCTATTACATCTGACTGTGTCGGGCTACAAGCACCGCCAGTACTGTACTGGTACAGTGCGGTACCAATTTCCTCCCGACAGAAGTACCGTGCAGTCGCAGTGAGTATCGTACTTGTACCCTCGCCTCAGCCGGGGGCGACTCAGCGCGTATGACGCGGTAGGAGCCGAGGAATGGAACATATGTTCTCACTCGCTGGGCTTGTCACTGGTATCCTGGTTGGGGTGTGGGACAACGGTGCCTTCGGGATAGTGTTCGCGATGGACGGGTGAGGGCGGAGGTTTCGTCTCGTGTTGGGATTAGAGTTTATTGGACTGGGTGAGGGACTACCGTGGCCGGTGATCGTATCGCTCACTTGCTTAGGCCTTTTGAATTTTGGTTTTTGGTTTCCCGAGTTGCTCGGGGGGACCCATCGTGGGGAATGGGTAGGAGCCGGTGCGAGTACCGTACTATGCCGTAGATGAAGCGCGGGTTGGTCATTGGCCGGTTACAATATTTTATACTATCGCGGTAAGCTTTCTCGAGAGCTCCTACTTCTTGGTATTGCGGTGAATGGAAACGTGGGGGGGGAGGGGCTATCGTACTGCAAGAATATAATCCCTCATGCTCGGCCGGGTACGAGTTTCTCAAGCGAGTGCTTATCATCCGACTGTAGTGCAGGTAGGTAAGGTAGCCTGGCCGAAGGCCGCGATATGGTACAAATACATTGACACTATCAATCACCCCCCTCTCGATTTACGAGTACTCATCACCCCATATCAACGCCCCGCCCTTGTATCAGATCTTCTGCCCACTAGCGCACTGCAAGTATATAGCAACAGGAATCTTTCACATCTAAAAGTCTCTCAGTATCATCATCGTTCTATCCAGCCTCATCAACTGACCCAGGAGTTTCTCCTCCCTCGATAGCCAAATCTCTAATTCGCGCTTCTCCGACGTGGTAAGGTATTCCTCCACATTCGCCTGCACATCCGAGCGTTCCCATTTTTCTAGTAGTGAAGAGCGCTTGGCTCGCTCGACGTTTGTGCGCTGGATAGCTCTGGACATGGCCTTGTAGGTGTCTGTGACAAGAGATTGGATCGCACGGTCTGGATCGTGGAACCAGAGGAAGTATGTTCTCGAGATCTGGGGGATACTTGTTTTGGGGACTTCCTGGAGGTGGAGGTAGCCGTTTTCTTGAAGCCCTGTGAGGATTGAGCGGATTTCTTTTTGCTTGAGGAGGGCAATGCTGGCAATCTAAGGGAGGGACTTATGAGTGCTAGACACAAGCCTCGAGGGATGGAACGTGGCGAACCTGTTTCTCCTCCAGTTTCCCTTTATCCTTGATGATCCGGAGCAATCTCAAGCCCATTTCCCCGAATGTTTCTTCCACCACTTTCTCCAGTTCGATATGCCTCATAAGCTTACCCAACTCCTTGTAATTGACGCTCCATTCACCCAAACCACGGTTGCTTTCTAATTGGACAAACTTCCAAGAGTCTTCTGCGAGAAGTTGCATGTGCTGCTTTAGTAATTCCATGCGAATTTTCTTTTTGCGATTCTCGGCGTCAATTCCTTCCTCCTCATCGTCGTAAAGTTCCTCGAGGTCCGAAATGTCATCATCATCATCATCCTCATCATCCTCGCTGTTGCTCTGCCGACGCTTGCCCTTCCCATTGACCTTTTTCCTGTAACCATTGGGGTGAGGCTCGTCTTCATCCTCGGCATCCGAGTAGCTTCGTTTCCTCGCTTTCTTTTTAGGTGGGCGGGGAGCAGCTACAATCGAATTTTCCAAGTCGATATCTTTGCTGAACGTTTTTGATAGCTCAAGAACACTAAGTTTGATTCCTGCCAAGAAATTAGAGCCGGGCGTATTTTTTTTTAAGAGCTATAAATCTAGGGGCATAGACATGAGTATCCGAAACTTACTTTTTTTAGGGTCGTCCTCTTCATTACCGTCGGCCGGATATGGCTCACGGCATCGAAAGTATTTCTCTTCGAGCCGTTTCAGCAACTCTGCGTACACCTGCGAGCTGACCTTTCCATGTCGGCTTTCGGCCAGCGAAACCAATTCGGCATTTCGGAACAGAACCAAGAACTTCTCGTGATTTATTCGAAGAACGATGTCTTCCTATTGGTTCAAAAGAAAGTAAGTTAGTATTTACATTCTGAACCTATATCCTGACCAGTCCCACTAACATTGATTTCCCATTCCTCTTCTTCTTGCTCAATCAAGTCATAGATTGAAACTTTTTGCCGTTTTTTTGACCTTGGTTTTGATGTAGGCGCAGCTTTTCTTTTCATTCCGGCGTGTTGCGAAGTATCTCCGTCCACCAGTTCCCGCATTTTAATTTTCATTAACCTGTCTACCTCCTTTCCTAACTTATTCTCGGAGAGTTGGGACTTCCTCAACTGAGATGTCAATTGTGCTCGCAATGTGTTTCGGGTATCTGTTCGAATGTGCATATGGTGCTCCTGGACCTGCACCAGAAACCGCTCCTTCATCATGTCCGCCATGACTGATTTCAAAATCTCGATTGAAGTGATAGATGGCTCGTCATCTGTCGCCGGGGCATTCGATTTGCCGTTCGCCATTGCCTTGGATTTTTTGGTAGATGTGCCGTAGGCGACAAGGAAATCGCTAACACGAGCGTGACCCAATTGAAGCAGGTTGCTGACGATCAGTGCGCCCTATGACGAGGAGTAAACTTGTCAGTCTCGGATCGCGCAGTAGAGTGGTATAATGAATACATTGCTGCCAAACCGTTCTTCAACGGCCCGAATGATCCTACCAGCGCGCAGGAGCTCATAAACCTGAGCCCATTCACACTCGTAATACACTACCTCCTGCCCAGTTTCGAGATGGGCAAAGTGGACAACAAGATGCTGCTGAATGAGGACTGCTAGGGTTTGCTTGACTATCTTCTCTGGAAGCTTGAGCTGGCGGACTAGTTGAACAACGGAAAGCCGGCCCAACTCGAGAAGAACAGACACCACTCGCTGTGCTCGTCAAAGTTAGCCGGTAGGTCCTGAGGCCCGGAGTAGTGTGGGCGGGGTGTTAACAAACCGAAGAGACCTCGCCGTAGATATCTCTCACTAGAAGGACGCATAGCTCTACTACATTCTGTGAGAATTAAGAGTCAGCAGATGAAGGGAGGCTGCGGTGAGGAAATTGTTTGAAAACAAAGGGAACCGGGGATGGAATAGTCACCTGCGACATGACATTAGTTGTTGAAAGGGAGTTGAAGAATGAGGGGGGTTAATGGTGCTATGGAGAGTAGAATAGGTTGATATAGTGGGGAGTCATAGATGGGAGAAGTCGGTGGACATGGACTTTGTTTTTCTGAATGTTGGTGGTGGGAGAGGCCAACTTTTTTCTTCACTCAACTCAACCTAGTACTCGTACTTCTCGAATCTCGAGGAAGGCGGCTCCGCAAGTCAGCCACCGTTGCGCCAAGCCTTCATCGAGACGTGCCAAACTCTACGCCTAGGTAAAGGATTCTACTTACTCCCCCACTTTGGGGAATTCTTCAATTCAGTGGCTCTAATTCGTCCCGTTTCCCCCTCGTGATTCAGATTTCTCGAGTCTCCTAACTTCATCCCTTCCACTCCCTACTAACACCGACATCAAATAACCCCTCTCGCCCTCCCCGCGTTCTTTGACAAATGCTTGCCCGCAGCGCCCTCCCCCGGGGCCCATTCCAATTGCTTGTGAGGGCCGCTCCCCCTTCCCGCTGTGGTTTGGCCACCGCTACTGTCTCCAATCCCTTCCATTACACTGTCGGCGAATCAGCGGGTATCAAAGTTGCGTCAAGAGATGATGGTGGCCCAACCACTACTTTAGCAGTGGTTGCAAGAGGTGGAAGCCGATATGAGACCGCTCCCGGATTGGCCCACGGATTGGAAAGATTCGCATTCAAGGTACAGCCCCCCAACGGTCTGATTTTGACAGCCAACACGGCCGTAGTCTATGTGAACTCGAATTTATGAAACTGACTTTTCAAACTGATCAACAGAACTCAAGGCGATCTGCCCTCCGTCTTCAGAGGGAAACTGAATTACTCGGCGGCTCCCTCGGTTCTACGCTCTCCCGAGAAAATATTATTCTCCGTGCGAAATTTCTGCGGGATGACCTTCCCTACTTTGTCGAGGCGCTCGCTGATGTTCTCATCCATACCAAATACAATCGTACGCCGTCCTACTTTATGCAATTTGTTGTTTTCAATTCGCACTTGGTTACCAGTTTGTTGCAGACATGATCTGACTGCCGAGTCAACAGCCTACGAATTCAACGAACAAGTTGCCTCCACTATGGCCTTCGAACTCGAGAAATTCCACCATACCCCAGCAGCTCTCGCTCTTGATACAGCGCACAACGTCGCATTTCACAGGGGACTTGGCTCTAGCCGTTTGGCACTAACCAACAAGTACCTTACCAAGAAGCACATTACCGAGTATTCCAAAAAGGTGTACAGCAGGGGCAATATTGCAGTTGTTGCTTCCGGTGCTCCTCAACCGGACCTCGAGAAGTGGGCAGCTGAGTTCTTCAAGGAACTCCCCTCAGGAACTGGACCAGCCGTGGTCCCCGCTAAATACTATGGAGGTGAGAACCGTCTTTTCTCACCCCATGGCAACGCCATAGTCATTGCCTTCCCCGGCAGTGCCAGCGATCCGTCTTTCAAGGTAGAGTATATTGTTCTGGCATACCTGCTTGGTGGAAAGGCCTCTGTCAAATGGAATGCTGGAATGTCACTCTTGTCCCAGCCGGCCTCCGAGGTCCCTCACACCGCTGCCGTAGCCAAGCACGTTGCATACACTGACGCTGGTCTCCTGTATGTCACCATTGAGGGCCCTGGATCTGCACTAACCCAGGCCGGAAAGAACGTTGTGACCGCCATCAAGAGTCTGGGGGAGGCTAAGCTCGAAGATGTCAATAGGGCCATTGCCCTTGCAAAGTTTGGTGCCCTTGCCACGGCAGAGGATAGAAGCTCTGGTTTAGAGGCTGTTGGACAGACTGTCATTGCTAGCGGAAAGGCACCGCAGGTTGAGGGTGTTGTCAAAGCTCTAGATGGTGTTACGGTTGAAGCAGTCAAGGCTGTATGCCTTCCCCGAGATGTTAGCCTTTTTATATGCCTATTAGCTAACTAACCTTGGTACTTGTATAGGCCGGTAAGAAGCTCCTCGAGTCAAAGGCCACATTCGTCGCCGTCGGCGACACATATCTCCTGCCATACGCCGAGGACCTGGGGTTAACGGTCTAAAGCACTAACCATCAGTTAAAGTGATGGCTTAGCATCTACTAAGGGAACAAACCAAACAAACAAAAAAAAGAAAAAAAGAAATTTTTTTTTTCTCATGGCATTTTCCATTTCAATATACCGCGTGCTTTATGACGTCATATGGTTGGGGATCGAAGGGGTGAGGATTGGCAGAGGGTGGGGTTATAGAATAGGGTAGAAATATGGCGGGCCGAAAAGAGAATAAGCAAAGGGGATCGGGTAGGGTCCGCATATTTGAAGACCAAACAAACAAATATTTGTATCAAACAGTGTGTTTCCTTTTTATGTTTGGCGGGATTTGATGGCTTCTTTGTGATATGAATTTATTCTGTTGGTCTATCACACGGATTCCACCTTAACGGTTATTGCGAGTGGTCGTGGCGGGCGACGGAAGAAGCTTGAAGGGCAACTTCGGGTTGGAGTTCTTGCATTCTGAGTCCTTTGTGGGGCCTAAACTACTCACACGCTCCAACCTCCCGGATACTCCATCTCCTCAAGGCTCCGATTATAGCCTGGAAAGGCGTATGGCAAACAACTAACCAAGGCACCCCGTGCTACACCATGCTCTCCCCTTCCCAGCTTTCACCTGCACTGGATCTGCCATGACCATTTTCTTCCAGGGATCCACGGCGCCTTATTGTGCTGCACCTAAGGTTAATGTTTTGCCATAGAAATCTGCTGTGTCTAGCCTTGGACCTTCATCTGTTGTAACTCATATGGTTGGTGCTGTGTGTCGTACTCACTGTGCGCCAGCACACAATTTTTACTGTCGTTACCCTAGGTCAGTCTACGCTGTTCTATAGGTAACTCCCAATGCACCGTACAGTACGAGATATTACTGACTCCGAACCCGTATAAAACAAACAAGATTTTACCTAGTTTTCTGCATTACTCATCTCCCAGGACAGTCAACCTGTCACCAGCACTTACTGTAGCTTGTCAGGGTTACTGCAACAGTATTATTATACTCCCCACAGCATCAAGCCAAAACCAAAAATAGGGGGAAGCCGACCGCACGCACTCCCGTCCGCAAGGTCGGACCCTCTAGCAGGTATTAGCCCTTTTGGTCTGCTATAGATCGCGGGCGAGCGGGTGGGGTATCGTGAAGCAGTGAAGTCCTTGCAAGAAGCACATGTGCGGCGCCTGGTGGGTTGGTTCTGTTCTATGGACTGACTTGTGGTGTTCTAGATCAGTTCTTGAATATCTTTGGCCACAAGTATTCACCCGTGCGTACCACACAGTCTCATGATTATCAGAGACGGAATCTTCTGACTATACAATTGTTATTTGTTTTCTTAAATTGTACCTTGTCTTGCCCTAGCTCTAGAGAATATTTTGCTCTTTCAATATTAGTGACCACCGGTATCATTTTTAGGGCTTTCGCCCTTACCCTCTTTAAAGTTTTTCCATTCCAACTGTCCTAGCTGTTTTGAGGACCACCTTGTAATATAGAGTTTAATGTTGGCTGGCGGGTTCGCCCGAGGACGGGTTGTGGTGGTGGTTGTTGGTGGTGTGGATCGTTGAGGTAGGGGCAGGATGAAATACGGCACTAGGGGACTCGGACGCGGGATCTACCTTGAGTTTAGTGAGCGGGTAAAGCGATCGGGAAAAATTAAGATAGCAATCTTGTCGAGCTGGTTTCAGGGCTTTAGGCAACTTTAGATCCCGCCGTGGGTAAGTGCGTTGGTGGGTCCCCGAACAGCTCATAAAACATCGTCATGACCAACACATGTAGGATTCTTGGTGCTGGAGGATGTTCGGGCGCAGGAATCTCGGAGGTGGAAAACTCTGGAGCACAGGGCTGTCAGAGGTATGTCACTCTCGTTTGAGGGAGAGTGTAAGATAAGCTCTGTACACAATCTCGTTTGCCCTTGACGGACGGATGAGGAGACCCCTGCGGTGACGAGGTGATCAGGAGCACAACTGCCGATTCCACTGTTTCTGTTCGTGATGGATTTTTAACTGCAGAAGCATCCTTCCCCCCTTCCTGGCATAAGGTCACCCGACCCAGTCCATACCCACCTACCGAGCGCGATTATGAACATTAGCACACACCCTGAATTCCCCGTGCTTGTGAGACGAGTGATACTCTATGCACGCCCCTACGCATCGCTCTACTACCACCACACTGTTCTCTCAACCGGAGTCCGGATTACATAGCATACTCACACTGTCACAGTACAAGTATCTTCCTGCGGCTGTTTGGATTATCCTATTGTGTCCCGATACTGCCGTTTCCTCTTCCTCCTTCCTTCTCTTTTCGTCTCCTTCTCCAAAATCTCTACCTAGGGGAAACAGGGCCAATGGTAGTGTTTCCCGAGCCCACATCTCATGGTGCTCTCGGCAATCTCTCCCTACCCGGTACAGCTCCCCTAAAGAGACACTACCGGTAGCCCTCCTGCAGGTATCCAGGGCCCCGAGCCCTTCGAGCAATGAAAGCCAGAAAGTATGCAAGCACCTACAGAGAGTGCATAACTTATATCGCAAAGGGCGGATCATGCAATAGATGTCAGTGTTATAAACCAGCACTAACCCTCCTGCAATTTCCAATGGTAGATAGTTTGTGAATGGTGACGAACCCGGGTGTCTCTTTAGCCTACGGGAAGCACATTGTAGGTTATTGGCCCAGTTTCCTGGGTGTTATATGTCCTACTTCACACTAAATCCCCAGATCACTTTCTCATCTAACGCGATATCTTCTCATCACTAATGCTACAGAAATTTAACGACTGCATTTCCCGTACAATTGCCGGCTATCAGCCACCGGGCGTTAAGAGAAGGGAAGAAAGCCCAAATGCAGTCAACTGTGTACACTTTTCTCATTTCGTCTATCACATCCTACGATCTCTGGACTCTTAATCCTAGTATGCGCGTTTTATTTTCTCACTCTCACTCTTTCCTTTTTCCATTTGGCCCATCTTCGCAGCGCAGCGTACGAGAGGTCTCGATTGGCCACTTAAATAAACTTGCTTACCCACTTACATACCTACTCCCTCTGCCGGCTCTACCATGTTTAAAGCACAGCGCAGTATGTGAACTCACCTGATCACCCTTCCCTCCTACCGGGGCCGTGGTAAACACCGTACCCGTACGACCACATACCTGACCCCCACCCTTGCCCATTCTCCCATCCCTTCTCTCCTGAATAGGCTATTCCACGGGCGATATTTGATCGTGATGCCACACTGGCACTAGGGACATACCGTATCCAACCAAACCGGTGGAAGCCCCAGAACGTCCCTGTCGACTGGTGAACGCCTGGGCTGTTTTGGATCACTACCATATCCCATATTCACTACCGCGTCTGCCCTGTTTTTTGTTTTTTTTGTTGGAAGGCTCCTCTTTTTTTTCTTCGTGGAGGGGAGCGGGTGAACCGGATTGTTGGGTGGGGTGGGTTGCGGATGAGTGAATGAGTTGGTGAGGCAACAAGCTGCGTGTCATGGGCTGTCACTCGAGCCAAAGTGTCGGGTTTTTGGGGCTGGTTGGGCACGTAAGGGAGGGGAGGGGGGAAGAGGTCATGGGGCGATTGTGAACAGGAGCAAGGTAAGGTAGGGTTGGTGGTGCTGAGATCGATGGAGTAGTGGGTTCTTGGCCTGCTGGAAGGGATTGCGTTTCTGTTGCTAAATCGAACAGGCATCTGATGCTTCGACCATGCGAGCCGGAATAGCCTCCCCCCGGGTTACTGGGGGCTGCATACTGGTGAGAGGATTGGTGTTGTATCCTGAATTAATCGAGTGAATTAGTGTTCGACGATTACAGCGCGCTGTGCTCGATCTCTTTTCTGCGCTCCACATTGGGGGCCAAGTAATCGCAATTAAAACTCTGTCACACTTGTAACGTGCCCGTAGAGCCCCGTCGGCCTCTCTAGCGCCTTCCATAGCAAAAATCGGACTTCGGAACAAGCGTGATTCTCTGTGAATCTTCCGGGGTAATTGCCAAGACAGTTCAGTGAAAGGGTTACCCGGCCACAACACTACGCCCTCAGGCGGATCCACAATTTCTGCGGCTCACACACTGTACTGTACTCGTGCTCCACTGGTTTTCATGATAATATCATACAGCTTCACGTTCTATTATTGTCATTACTAAGGCGAAAGGAACGAGAATCCTCCCCTCAGCTACTGCACCCTTGTACTTTTTTTTTTTTCCCCTTCGCACCAGCCAATTTCACAAAATGGGTAACGACGGTGGCAGGTAAACTCAGCCCTTTCCTGGTCTTCCCAATTCCGTTGGATTCACCGCTAACACCCAATAGCATCCCCACCCGACGGGAGCTCGTCAAATCGCCCACAAAGCAGAAAACCCACTCGCAACTGCGAGACACAAACGCTCAGACACAGACATACCACTGGACGACCTGCCCGCTCTCCAAGCGACCACTCTCGGAGCCTATAGTATCGGACTCGGCCGGGGTGCTGTACAACAAGGACTCGATAATAGAATGGCTGCTGAAGGGCGTGGAAGCGTTCGGCGACGGGGAGGAGGTGCTGGAGGGACGGATACACTCCCTGAAGGACGTTGTCGAGGTCAAGTTTGAGGAAGGGCGAATATGTCCGGTTTCCAGGAAGGAGCTAGGGCCCGGGGTGAAGGCTGTCTACCTGGTTCCGTGCGGCCACGCCTTCTCCGAGAGCGCGGTGAAGGAGGTTGGGGAGGGGGTTTGCTTAAAGGTTTGTTTCTGTTTTACTGTTCCACAGCGCGATAATGATAATGGTTGCAAGGGTGTTAATAAGTTTGTTGGTTGTGTGCCTAGTGCGATGAATCATACACCGATGATAACGTCGTCGCAATAAATCCTACCGCTCCGGAGGACCTTCAGCAGCTCAAGGCACGGATGGAAAAGCTGGCCGAGAAGGGACTTACGCATGCACTTAAGTCTGCCGGCAAGACTAGGAAGCGGAAGAAGGATAAGAATGGGACCGGGAAGAACGGTGACATCAAAGCGGGTGGTGATGCGATCGATCCGGCAGCCCCGGCGGCGACTGCGGGTAGTGCTGCCGGTGGTGGTGGCGGTGGTAGCAGTGGCACCGGCAGCGTTGGTAGTATCAAGAACCCTCTGACCGCGGGCCTCACGAGCAAGGTTCTCGAAGACGAGAGGGTAAAGACCAAGCGGAGGAAGGTCGAGATGAGTGATAACCTCAAGAGTTTATTTTCCGGCGAAGAAAAGACAAAATTGGGAAAGAGCGACTTTATGAGTAGGGGGTATAGCATTCCCGGGGGCAAATAGCTTTTCTTTCTTCTCTTGTCATATCGCTCCCTTTCTTCACTTCTCCCCCCCCGTTATGGGTCTCGTGTCTCTCGGATCCGAGAATCCACCACACGCCATTGTGGCAATACGGCACTGTACTATAATGCTTATCTTACATTTCACATTTCATAGGCACCGATTACCGTAGTCTATCGCCTTATCATAATCCTTTAGGTATCACAATACCGTTACCCTTACCTATGCCGAGGAACGGGACTAAGTACCGGCAAAGTAAACAGTAACGGTGGACCAAGTAACGTTAGATGTATCACTGCAATTCTCTCCCCCTATGACACCCCCAGTGTGGCCTGATATTACCTCGCATCGTTACTCGAACCGGAGCACCTTGCAGGCCTGTGTGCCACGCCCGACGGCAAACTCCGGAGGGCACGGGGGACCAAGTCAACTTGACTCCATCGTAGACCAACTACCGGTAACCTCTCGCCGAACAAGCTGGATTCAGTAGTCCCCGGGAGTTCTGGACCCCCATTCCAGAATCGGCGATGCATTCGCGGGGCAAGCAGGGAAGGTGAATAAGGAAGGGCTACCGGTACAGTACCGCATCGCAAATCAGGGAAAAGACGAGATGGAAATATGAAACCACAATAACGGGGGCCCGGGCATTTTATCACTGTACGAGTACTGTACAGTACGGGTGCTCACTCGAGGCACGGTGCTCGTGCTTCTCGGCCTAGATTTTAGCACCCCATTTGTCCTAGCCCGTGGCACCGATTCCCTTCCGCAGAAGGGGTATAGTTTGGGGCCAACTACCGGTATTGGGGGAATAGTTGGCGAATGGAGTCGCCACAAATTTGCTGGAGTCTATGGGCATCCGGTTCGCGGCATGCACCTGTTTTCCTCTGGAGAGCCAGACCCCCATAGTCTACTCGCTACACATACTCGAGTACTACTCGTATGATAGCAGACTATGGTACTGTATGTACGAATATGTCCCTTCAGCAGAGGCGAATTTGTGCCACCCACTAGGACAAATGGGGTGCCAGATCTTGGCCGAGAAGCACGAGTATCGTATCGTACTCGGGTATCATACGAGTACTCGTGCTTACATACTGGGTGCGGCACTGGGTTTGAGTTGTTTGTTTCTTCCACCCTACTACACACACGCCTCACACTGGGCAAGGTCTTATTCAGCCAACCCAGCGTCCCCCCCCACAAAAAAAACCAACTCCTCCCCCTCCCCTCCCCCCTCCCACCGCTCCTGTCCGTCTGTCTACTCGAGTATCTGTCCGCCCGCACAAAGCCTATACCTTTGTTGGAAAAACAAAAGAATAGAAAAAAGAAAAAAAGCCCTACAATTCAGTTATCAGGGGATCATGACCTCCATCCATCTTCCACTTCCATCCCCGGGCCATACTGCCACTAACACCCATCCCTCAAACTCCAACTCGCTCGGCCCAAGACCTACATACAACAGCAACACACATGTATGGGGTGGAGTAGGGCAGTGTTAGACAATGGACTCCCTCCCCCTCGAAATCCTCACCAAAATTCTCCTCAACCTACCGCCAAACCCCTCGGACAGGCTGGTCTGCCGCGCATTCAAGGACATTCTTACCCCGGGCTGCTTCCGCCGGATCCGCACAGTTCAGTTCGCCAAAGACGCCTTTGACCGGCTGGTGAACCTCTCGCAGAGCGAGGTCTCGCGGTACGTGGAGGATTACGAGTACCTTGTTCATCCGTTGGCTTATCGACGTACGTATTGCACCCCCCCACACGCACATACACACTTATATAGTCTACACACCCGTTGCTACTGCTACCCCTCCGCATAAGAAAATGCTGACTGATGGATGGGTGGTTGGTAAAGCAAACATACATGCCGTCGACAACTTGATATGTCTGGAGAAAACCTACCCTACGAGAAACCAAACTCTGGATGCCATGGCCGAGAGCCTCGTCCAGCGGCACGAGGAGTACCTGCACCAAGAGGACATCCTGGGAACCTTCTACGATGTCCTCTCGCTCAGCAAAGCCCTGCCGCTCTTCCGCAGCCTGCGCTCCGTGTCCATCTCACGCTTCGACTCGGCCGACGACGCACCCCAGGAATACGAGGACACCATGGAGCGTGCCTGGTGGGCCGTGATAAAGGCACTGAACAAATGTGACTACCCGGTCGAGCGGCTGCATATCGATGCGGTGTACGATGGCATGCTGCACGGCGTGCCCCTATCCAAGATGGCGCAGGTGTACGAGGTGCTTGGCGAGTTGAAGGAACTGTCGGTCCCCGCCATCTCCCTCGGCAGCGGGGCCTTCCTTCGCCCGGGGCACGTGGCGCTTAAGGTCTTGCTAGGGTCCGGGCGGAATCTGGAGGTTGTCAGGCTGGGAAATTCTAACCAGCTGAGGATGGATCTGGTGAATGAGGACCTGGGATTCCTCTGGCCATGTTTGCGGGTCTTGGATTTGGCGGCTAATACCGAAGTTGAGGCTGGAGATTTCGTTGCATTTCTGGAGCTGCACAGCAGCACTCTGAGGGAGCTGACGTTGACGAAGTTTGGCCTTGTGGGGAGGGCGGAGGATGGCACGCAGTGGGCTTGGGGACGGATATTCGAGAGGTTACACCAGAGCTTGACCTTGACCAAGCTGACGCTATCCCATTTACAAGCACCCTCAAGCTTGCCCGCCGTCACGATAGACGATATGAGGGAATGGGAGCGGACGGTGCCCAGGTCACAGGAGGAGATTGCGGTGGATTGGTATTAAGTTATTAGGTTTTGATCTTGCCATAATTTTCTATTCTTTTCAAAAGTTTTTATTTTATTTTTATTTTTATTTTTTATCATATTAGATTTTGTAATATTGCATATTATCTGTAGGTTTTGGGTTTTAGGGGATTTTTTTTTTTCATCCCTAGCTCTCGCACTGTATATATAGATTTTATGATCATAGATAACCTGGATTGTACTGTACCAATCCAACTAGTGTAACCACTTTCATATAATCTAGCGATTGGCTGAGCAGCGCTCGGGGATCCGGCAGATCCTGCCCGTTATACATTTACATTGTTGGTTATTGATTAATGGGAGGTGGGGGGGAGATATCCTTACCCACGTGCTGTACAGTACTTGTATTGTGCTCGTACCGCTCGCGCCGGCACCGGTGTTCCGCAACCGCGGTAGCTGCCGGGTAGCACGAGTGAGTAAACGTGCTTAGTGTTGGTATTGTACTCGTACTTGCAACTCCACACACTCCGGTTAGCCATATGGACCATATGTGAAAGTGCCGTGCTCCGGAAGACTGCGCAAGAGCAGCCATTTTGCTACTTTACGCACGTCGCGGTCCAAATGTCATACCCGCGGCCGAGTCGGGGGCCGATGCTGGAAACAGATCGATCGGTCGAGCGATCGGGCGACGGGATTCCCCACATCCTCGGTCTCCGGCTGACCCGAGGATATGAGGTTTCCGCAGTGCATGGATTTGCCTTGGCGGCGGGAGTACGTTACTGTGCTGCACAGTACCGGTACTGTGGAATGGGCCGCACAAGTGGTGGGAGCGTTGCTATAATACCATATACGGTAGTATAAAAAGTATGATAGTATTCGGCTCGACACACATTCTTTGGCGCTGTTTTCAGTGGAGTGGGACCTGGTGAGGTGCGCGGCGGGGGGGGGGGGGGGGTACCGCTGCGCTGCTTGTTTTTAAAAACGTGCACCTATAGCACAGCACAATAGACGTACTGTACCCGGCGGAATGAATTCGAATACAGGCAAAATTTTGTATCATACCAGCACGACGAATTATCTGCGCATCTCGGAGCGCTCACGCTAAGCTCGGACTCCAGCGTTGGGTTTATTATGCTAGGTATTAAGGGAAACCTTGCTCTACGGGCCTCACCCATTGCTAGGCTCGCGCGGGTATTCGTCCTCTCAAAGTCAGGCCCTGGTGCCTTTTCCGGGTGTGAGGTCACTGTGAGAGCAGTGGAAGAGGGAGGAGATAATATCTTTGTATCCAACAAGTCTAACTTTGTAATGCCACTGTCAATCCCCCCTGCGTACCCAACGCAAGAGCCGGCCCCCTGAGTTCACTTGGTTTATGTTGCAAAACCACCGAGCCGGCAGCCCGGCTCTCGGCGTGGTAGTAACGGTATTACAAGTGTAACTTGTTGCCCCCGTTGTGATGCAGCAGATTGTGAGTCTCCGGCGCGGGTTGGGGGTGTGGACTTGCTTGCTGTGCGCCCCTAGATATATGGGGGTGCGTTGAGCTGGAGGGGGGGTAGTCAAGGGGAGAGCCACAGATGCTTGGAGAGTATTGGGGATATTTGCGATACACCTTATGCAGATGCGTATAAACGTAGGTCTGGCCGGCGGCATTTACCTTGGAATATTGCCCTGGGGATTTGGAGACCACGGTTCGCTCGGGCGGCAGACGGTGGAGCCGTCCTACTAGTACCAAAGCTGCTAGAGTCATGATAAATATGGAGGAAGTCGACTTTTGGCCACGCCGGATGGTGTAGCTACTCTCCCACAACCCCCCCAGACCCCGGTGCTTATATTCCTTTCTCTACCCTTCGCCTGCACCGCCATTCACTACCTCCAGCTGCCCATGGACCACCCGGCACCAATTACCTGCTGCCTGTGCCACCGGAATCCTCACCCGGCCGTGTTTCGGGCGATGCGGGGTATCCGCCCCTCCGGCCAAGGTCTAAGAGACCCGTTGAGTTTTGTTTCCTTGGAGTTTCACCCTCCAACAATCTGCGGTAGGCTCTGCGCACATCTCCATCCTCGGTTGGGGAAACCCCCGAATTGCCAAAGCTTAATCCGTGCAACAGTGGCCTGATTCCCAATCCTGGCCCGGAATATATAGCAGCACCATCCCCCCAGTCGCCGCTCAGATCGCCACCCGGCAGAAGGCATTCTCTGGGGGATGTTAGGGAAGCTGAATCCGGTGCATCTTGACATCCCACTTGTTTCCCCCCTTGATCATGTGGGCTCACTCGATAGGGCCGAATTTAGCAATGCATCCACGAGACAATCAGGTGGGAATCGTTGATGTTTGTATGGCGGATCATGGCAGAGCACTTAATGCTGCCAAGCTTATCCGGCAATAGGCGGAGGGATGCGGTCCCTATCGCCCGTGAGATGTGATTATGGATTGTGGATATCGTTGGGGGGTTGTTTCGTGCGTGATGCTGGTGGGACAAGATATGGCTTGGAATCTCGCCTTCTCTCTCTTATCCGAGTACACAAATGCGATCTGCATCCGGCGGTGTTCCTCCTGGATGGCGGGACACTATTTTGGGGAGCAAACCCCGATGAACATCTCCGCATTTAGCTTGCTCTACGCGCGTGTGCACGGAGACCACAGACGCACAGTTATGCCATCAGTCAAAGAGGGCCCTCTGGGCCTCTACAAACTGTTGGGGCTCGGGTGATTACTCTCACCGGGACGACTGTCGAAACGATATCAAGCCTACGCAAGTACCGGGAATACCCTGTTGTCAGGGAGATGGGAATTACCCAGCAGATAGCTGGAGCGAGCGGCTCCAATGCAAGAAACAGCTAATTCGGTCATCTTCGAGCCACGGGTTCTAAAGAGGGAAGCCGGTAATAAAAACCCCAGAAAACCTACCAAAAACTTCTGTTATCCACCCAGGGTCACCATTCGCTCCCCTCCGGTCAAGACAATCCCAAGAGGCCTGATTTCATGGCAACACGGCCGAGCGATCGAAGCTCTGCTATTTTTCAAGGAGCTATCCAACAATGCGACGATCCGAAGGCCGTGGATCAAAACCGGCCAGGTGGGGGGGGGAATAGGGGACAGGCCTGTTCTTATAGGAGTGGCACCGCGTCGAGTTCATTAGAAGCAAACACAAACATGAGATGCGTAAGGGGATGCTGCAGAGGGTCAATGTTGCCGCGGCGGCACGACGCAGCTAATAGTATTTGCTACCGAACTACGTCAGCTGCAGTGGGAGATGCCGCCTACTCTATTTTCAAACAAACTCGTACAGTACAGGCACTGCACCTACTCGCATCACCCAACCTCACTCGACTGGGTCAACTCCCGTCATACAACGGCCAACCACCCATACCGATTCGGACACTCGATACCTTCCCTACCCCCATTACCCACCCCCAACACCCGAGCCACTCCAAGTCCCTCCCCGCCCGTCCGACCGCCTGCCGAAAGCGCCTCGCCCGAACGTTCCACCAGCGAAACCACCATCGCAAAAACTCACTTCTTACCGCCATCAACTCAATTCCTCAAACGGTTCCAGAGAGCACCATTGCAAGCCCGTGGGCGCCAACTAGCACGGGCAAGCCTGGACAGCGTGGTGTTATTATTGACCACCACCAGCGCTTGAATCGGTCAAGCACATATGGTAACCGGTCCCTCTACGGTTATGCATGCAGCACCTACCGAGGGGGTAATAAAATAAATAAAAAGACTTCAATGCCGTGGTGGATTCATGCTGATGGCACGGCTGTTGGAGGGGTTTCATTTTTTTTTCTCCTCTCTGATTGACTGTGATGTTCTGTCTCTAAATTGGCACTCCATGAGATTCGATATATTCATTTCGGTATGTTGCATGCTGTGCCTTTGGTGATGGATCGTTGACAGCCTATGAGGAGGGTTGTGAGTCTGCTGGGTATAAATTGTGTTTGGCAATTTCTTCAGTGGAGAAACAAGTATTCTACTGTGGGTTCTCTTTTTTTTCTTTTCTTTTCTTTACCACGTCTTGTGTAAAAAAGAGAACATCCTGTCTTAATGAGCGGTCAATGTACCGGTATTGGATATATTAGACGATGCCGCTCTGCCCGAGAACTGTAAGCAATGCATATCAGCTCGAACTGCAGGCCCAATTGAGCGCTTCAGAAGACAATTCCAGTGCCCCCATCCTCAGCTGAGAGGCCGCTAGCGTTCAATTGACCTTACTGTCCGGAATTACACCGCAGCACTCGACGAGAAATCACCAGAGGTTGAGGTTCCCCGCCACCAGTATCCCAGATCCACGCTTATATCATAGGAGAGGTGCAAAAATAAGGTGAGCATAGCACTTAGAGATCCAGAAACGGAATTCCAACCACAGCATCGCAGCAGGATTTCCGATCCGGATAAAACTGGAAGAAAAAAAAAAAGAAATTGAACGAGCTCAAACTCATCCCTAACCTCCTCAAAGGAACCAACCTCCTCCAAACCCCACATTCAAGTTCACCTAACCAGCAGACACAACCGGAGAACAAAATATTGGCAGAAACCAACCCCCCCCCGATCTCCACACAGAATTACCGGTAGCGCGATCTACAATATGATACAAGCAGTGAAACCCCACACTGCATCACACAAATCTACCGTGAACAAACCTGTCGAGTCCACACCCGGCACCAACGAAGCCCAATAACTACCCTCCAGTACTATACCAGTACACAAGTTATACCATACTGTACCGGTAAGCAATCTCAAAAGCGCATCGCCTATACATACCGAAAACACACGGGTAAACCCCATCCAGTAAAAAAAAAAATCCACTTTCAGCTGTTCACTCATGCATGTCGGTAGATGCATATCCCCACATCTTCCCGCCACCGCGAAGAAAGAAAGAAAGAAAAGAAAAAAAATTGCCGCAAAAGCATCCTGTTGACACATCTAAGCCTGAGATATCCGAAACCAACGATCTCGGAAGGAGAGGAAAAGGTGGAAACGCCGCCGTGATTTTTTTTTCTTTTTCTTTCCTTCTTCCCACCCTTTTGCCTCGTGAGTGGGTGCGCTGGCGATTCGGATGCGTTGGGCTCATGGAGGGTCACTCGAGGGTTTGCTTACTATATCATACCAGCGCGGTATCATACAGATAAGGGGTGAGAAGTGGGGAGAGGTGATAATTGCGATGATAGTAATCACGATATGGCAGTCTACCGCGTGATGGGCCCGCTCTCACGGTGCGTACGGTGACTGCGGCGAAAGGTATTAAGTTAGTTAGACCTTAGTGAGCGGGCAGGCTAACGGCGAGCGCTCCGCTCGACCGGGTGGGCCTCAGTACAGTAAGAAACTAAGCTCGAGTGTGGGTTTTTTTTTTGGGCCCCCGGGAGGTTCTGGGCGGTGTGATGACTACTACGGCACTGCCAACCACCAGACTCCCCCCCACCCATCATCAGTCATATTACAGCAATATGAGTACATGGGGGGGGGGGTAAATGATTCTTTTAGCATTAAATATTATACAAAATGGACGCGCTGAGTGAAAAGCGGCGAATGAATATGGAATCTACCATTACATTACAGAGTTGCTGAACTGGAGAAAGCGGTAGTATAAACCAGATATCACCAGCAATGACCTCCATTCTAGTGAGAGACCGTTCTGTGCACCTAGATACTAGAGCAGGAGACATGTAGCTATAACTCCTCCAACTTCTCGAACATGAGAAATGACGAGCCCGGGGTTGTAAATAGTGAGAGATACCAAAACTGTTTTTGAAAATAAATAAAAATAAATAAGGGTTAATGTTTATCGAACTCCCCGTATATACTGCAAGTATTGTTGGCTGCCCAATTCACTTTAACGGGTATTCTTCAGACCGTGCCGTATCGTTACAACCTTCGAGTTCAACTCCGGTATATAAGAGTTATGTATAATAACTACTTTTTCCGGATACCAATACATCTTAAAAGATATTTATATATCAGCAAAAAGCATGTAAGGGATTAAATGAAATGACTACTAGTAGTAGTAGTAGTTACTATTCCAAGCCGTGGTAGCCAACTCACAACTACAGCTACAAGTAAATAAGCTACATGATAAGGCGAAGAGGAAAGTAGTTCCAGATCCGAACACGGTTTCTGCAAATGTAAAAGCCATCAAAGTGCTGTAAATTAAGTTTTACCCTACAGTATTGCTGGTGGTTGCACTGAGGTGGCTGAAAACCCTGCACGCGGACATACCGTACCGTACTCTAGTCTACTCTAGCACTAGCACTGTTTTGGAAACCTCCGCCGAAACACCATCGTATAATATTGTGCCGTTCACCCGTCCATTCACATATCCATCACCAGCACCATACAGGCACTGGCGGTCCCAAAACTGACGCAACCGCGAACCTCCTCTTCCTGCTCCACTCTGCAAGTGCCCATTGTAGCTGTGCAGTACAAGTACCCGCGCAAGCAACATCCCGCCCATCGACCAAAAGGCCCACCACGGCACCCCCAGCCACTTCCGACCCAAGTTAGATTGGCGTCAACAGCTGGAACAACAACAGCAGCTGGAGACAGCTGAGCTCCCCGATGAACCGCTGCCCACTAACCCATCATACAATCCGGCCGGGGCCGTGATATGACAGCGAGAAACCCCCCCAATAATGCGCGGGCATGTGCTGCGCTGGTGAGGTGCTTGGGACGGAGGTGGAATACCAAAGTGTGTATATAAGCACCGGACGGAGGGCCCTCTTTTTTGCAATTGTTGTTTTGCTATTACCATCCTTCGGCGCGGGATCAATTCTACGAGAGAAAGAAGATGAGGGGATCGGTATTGCTCAGGGCTGCTTCTGCGGTGGCCACGTTCACGGGCGCAGTTTCTGCAACGGGGGGCTTCTGTGTGAGGAAGAAGGTCATTATCGATACGGATTTCTACAATTTCGTGAGTATTCCCCCACTCTGTGTCCGGTTATTAGCTGATAGAGTGCGAATTGCTTACCTATTTTTTATTTTGGGAAAAAAAAAGTCTGACGATCCGAATGCCATTGGCATTGCGAACGCCTTCATGTCTTGGGGGGAGATTGAGGTGTTGGGTGTCATTTCTGGTATTTCCTCGAATGCATTATGCCGGGCCGGAGCAGTGCTAATAGTTATTATCAAATAGACATTCGCAGTCGCTATGCCCCGCCAGCAATTGACGCAATCAACACCTTCTACGGACACCCCGACATCCCACTTGCGATAAGTAAGCCCGTGGACAATTCTGTATACACCCCTCGCAACTCCTTTAGCGCATATACACCGCTAACATTCCAAAAGACCCAAGACCCCCTCTACACTGAATATCCCGCCTATGTTGACCAGCTAAGTCAACGCTTCCCGGAGGACACCAACGACGGTGAAAACACCACTGATCCCGTAACCCTCTACCGCACCCTCCTGTCCAAAGCCCCGGACAACAGCGTCACCATCGCCGCAATCGGCTTCTTTGATGCCCTATACTTGCTCGTCGACTCAAAGCCCGATGCTATTTCCCCATTGACGGGACTCGAACTGATCAAGCGGAAGGTTACCGAACTCGTTGTCCAGGCAGCTGGCACGGGAACTAGCTTTAACATTGTCCGGCATAATCCCCTCTATCCGACACACGTCCTGAACCAATGGCCCACAAAGTTGACCTTTGTGCCCGGATTCATTGGCAGCTCAGTGAGATGGGGATCGAGGTTGACCACGGAGGTGGATTTGCAGAAGAACCCTGTTGCATGGGCCTTCAATACGACAATCGGTTACAACAAGACGCACCAGTCCTGGGATCGTGAGCTTCCCATTCCCATTCATATTCCCTCACAATCGCAGTCATACTCACGGCTTAATAGCTACGGCGATATACTACGCCATCAGAGGCCTCGATGACGTCTACGTCTACAACAAAACCGGCGGAAGCGTCTTCTTCATGCCCAACGGAACCGCCATCTGGAGAGACAACGTCCCCCCCACTGCACCGCAGAATTGGGTGAACCTCAAGATCAGCAACGTAACATTTGCCGGGAGGCTTGAAGGGATCCTGCTATGGCAACCAGGAAGTGCGATCAGCCCAGCCCAGTCATCCTGCACTGGAGATAACTCCACCAAGCCCGGATCCGGCGGAAGCGGATATGGGGGAAATGCAACTGTGACGGGAGGAGGAAGGCCTACCCCCACGGGGGCCATATCCTCAGGGAGTGAACGAAGCATAAGCATCGGAGGGTTGACCGTGGCCGTTATTGCAGGAATTGTCGGAATGTACTTGTACACTTAAAGGAGTTTGATAGCTATGCCTTGCTGTAGGGTAGATAATTAGATGTATAATGAAACGAAGGGAGGTACCCCTCGTAAGCACACACACACACACACACACCAATAAACACAAGGACAGACAAATACACCGTAAGGTGCGCCATCAAATCAAACCAAGCACGCAGGAATAGGGAGAGAGCAGAGAACAACCTCCTATCATCAACAATCACTTTCCATACACCCCCATCAATCTAACACCCCCCCCCCCCCGCCTCCCAAAGTCTATTACGGCAGCTTTTGCGAAAGAGAAAGAAAAAGAAAAAAAGAAAAAGAAAAAAGAGAAGAAAACCTCATCAATCCCTCCTCAGCCTTTCCCCAACAGCCCTCGACACGCCACCCGCCGCACCTTTAAACTCCCGATCACACTCAGCATACCCCCTACCAGCACCGAAGCCGACACCAACCCATGCCGGCCATGCACGACGCTTAAACAGGAGGACGGAAAATATGATGCCGAAGCCAGCGCCGAGGGTGGACTTTACGAGGAGGTTCGCAAGGCAGTGATCCCACTATTGCGTTGCGGCACACGTTAGAAGAAGAAACCGACAGGGTGAAGAAGAAGAAGAAGAAGGGTGACGGGTAGAACCTTTTCATTCAAAAGACCTTCAGACTCCGGTTTACGTTTGACAAGCTGAGTCGTTGAAGCCGTCATTGCGTTCCAGGAATCTATCTATCGGTCGGTCGGTCGGTCGGGGGGGTTTGTGGTTACCCGTTAGTATTTATGTGGTGATGGGTGGTCAAGTATGGTAGTTTTTGTTTTTTTTCTTCTTCTTTTTCTTTTTCGCGTAGGGATGTCGAACTGAGTGGGTGATTATTCTCGAATTACCGTGTGGATGTGGATGAGTGAGATGGATGGATGGATTGAATTGAATTGAATTGAAGCTGGTGGGGATGGGGCGTGATGTATGTGGTCTAGGTGGGACGGTGAATTGTCGATTGCGAGATTGAGAGAGGCACGGTATGTATGATACAGTGCGGCGGTACTCGAGTATGATATCTTATCTCTCTCTCGCTTGCCCGTCTTCTCTTCTCTTGCGGAAGGGTGCGAAAAGGAAAAAAGAAAAAAAGAAAAAAAAACCCCCCCCTGAAGCCGACTAACTATCCTCATTCTGTCGCCTCCATCCCTTTTCTCGCAAATCCAGTGTTGATGAGTCATCATCCTACTTACTTTCTCATTCCAACTTTCGCCAAGACATATAAAGCTCGCTCATTCCAAGCTGCCATAATATCATATATTACAGTAACATGCTGGAATCATACGAATTCCGGGAGAGAGAAAGAAAGAAAGAAAGAAAGAAAGCGCTTCAACACAGCAATTAAAACAAATCAACTCTACAAGCACCGCAGACCACACAACCAATCGGATCAGCCCATCCAAAGCGCCCATAATTACAAAAAATCAGATGCACAACCCTCCTTTCAGGCACAGCACCTCTACCGTAGTCTAACTCCGTCTCTCTCCCGACGACAAGAGTACTGTACCGTACTATGATGGTAAGAGTACTAGTACCTGTACATTACATACCAAATCACTCGACCATCCCACCCCTTCCAAGCTCTGAAACACATACAACAGCGCATAACCCTCCCCTTCCCAATTCCCGGCGGCGGCAATCACTCGGTATGTGAACCACTGACCCGGGATAAATAAAAATAGGAATAGATATATATGAAAATGCCGGTAATGGGGGTTGGAAAGCTGGGTATTTCGTCAACGTTCTTGTCATGAATTCTCCGGGTAAGAGAAAGGAGGAGAGAGGTAGGGAGTGAAGGAAGGAAGGAAGGAAGGAAGGAACATCCTTATTGTATAGTGCAGTACAGTACAGTACGGTGCCCGCCGTCACGTCTTCGAGTCGTTGTGCAAGTTAGCTAGCTTGTCGTACTCGTTTACTGCCGGTGATAAGTGTGCGGGTGCTAAGTACTCGTACGGTGCTTGTTCGTGGGTGCTCGGGTAGTGGGTGGGGTCTGCCCCGTGCCCGTTCGACAGATATCATGAGAGGGGGAGGGGGAGGGGGAGGGGGAGAGATTCTTGATACTTGGGTGTCCGATTACCCGTACGCGTGTTCATTCATGCCCGAGGGCGATATGCATGCGTGCGTGGCGGGTATTCTTAAGCTTGATTGAGGGTTTGCCGTGCCGTACTGATGCGGAGGGGAGTGGGCCGGCTGCGAGGGGGTGTGGACGTGTGTGATCGGACAGCCAGGAATAGGGGCGTCTATGCTTCTTTCTTGTTTGAGCGATTCCCCCACCAAATCCACTCTCTTATTTCCCATAAGGGGAGCGAGCCTGGACCTTTAGAATCCCTGCATGTCCCATCACCTACCGTACCGTACGTCCCCATACATGTACCCGGCACGCATTGACTCTTGATGCTATTTGTAGGCTGAATAGGAGGTCATTGGTTCTCACTCGCGTTTCAGTTTTTACTTTATTTACCGTACCGATACCGGCAGTAACTGTCCATGTGAAGGTGAACGGAACGGGTCGGGATTCTGGCATTGGGGGAAAGGATCAGTGCCGATTGTGTGACGGATGATATGACACGGCTGACGGAAGAAGGCGAGCAAAGAAACTGGCAATTGATACTGGTACTCAGAGAGAGAGAAGCAAAGAAACAAGCGCAAAAATGTAAAAGAATAAAACAAGAAAAAAAACAAGAAAATTGGGAAAGTGAAAGCAAAAAAAAAAAAAAAAAAAAAACTAGACCAAAAAATGAGGCAAAAACAGTAAAACAAATATGAACGTTAGAAGAGGAAGACTGAAAAACCCCAGCCCGTCGTTTGCGCCTTTTTTTTTTACCCTATTGTACAATACGTTCCCTCCCAGAAAAGATATGATATCGTTGCATCGACCGAAAAGTAATGAAATGAAGAGAAAAAATGACCACGAGGAGTGTTATGAAACCAAGAGTGAGCCGATTGAAATGAAAATGAAACCAAGAGGGGAGAAAGGGGAAAAAAAAAGAAGAAAAAAGGTAATCCTATCATCTCGCCGCCGCATTCTCCTTCTCCAACTCCTCGAGCCTCCGAAGGGATGCTTCCTTCTTTATCTTTGCCGTCGCCATCTCGATTTCCCTTTTCTCAATATCCTTCCTCAGCTTCTTGATCTCCTTCCGCCTTCTCTTCTCCTCCGACTCGCCCGCCCTGGACGGAGGGGTAGAAGAAGTGCTGCTGGTGCCATCTCCCTCCGACTTCATCTCCTCGTCCTCATCCCTATCCTTATCTCCCTCCGCCCCCGCCTCCCCCACTTCCCGCCGGCTTTCAACCTCCGGACTGACAGGCGTACCTGGCTGGGTTATGGCGTATTTGAGCTTCCAGGAGCAAATCCACTCGTTGGTGATCTGCTCCCGGGTTTTCCCGTCAGGGTACAGTTGCAAATTAATTTCTTCCGCCTTCGCCTTTATTGAGTCGTCGTTCAGGATGGACTTGTCGGGCTGTTTGGCGTACCATTCGTGCAGAGCCTTGTCTAGTTCCGCGGAGCTAGCCACCCCCTGGTCTTCCCGCTTCACCGGGGGTGTAGGTAGCGGTGGGGGCGAGCGGATTGGAACACTAATTTGAGTTGGTGATTTTTTTGTTTCGTCTACCTTCCTCTCCTTCTCCTGATCCTCCTCTTGCTGCTGCTGCTTTGCCTGTTCCTTCCCTTTGGCCTGCTCTTGCTTTTGTAGCTTTTGCAGCTTCCTTGATGGCGTGGGAGTCGTGGGGGAGCCATTTTGATTGTTGCTACCGGTTGTTGGGTCGTCCGCTAGTGCTAGGCTAGCCTTAAATTTTTTCAAGTTGCGCGAAACTGTAGATTGGTTGATAGCTTTATGGAAGGTCAGCTCGAACCACTCGGCGAGCTCTCTCTGTGAACGAAAAATAATTTAGAAAAAAGGAGGAAATAAAAAGAGGTGCTTTTGCTTTGTTTGTTTGTTTTTCTCGTTTAATTCTTGATTCAATCATCCATGACTATGATCAATCTTCCCCGCTCTCCCTCTCTTTTATATTGATATGTTGGAGGGAGGCAAGGTAGGGGTGGGAGATGGGAGAGCGGGGTTGGGAACGGGACGGAATTGGTGATGATGATGGGCTCTTGTGTGTGTGTATATGTGTTTACGAACCTGTTTGAGATGTGGATTCCTAGTCGAATGTAGGAACAATTCATGCTTCTCCTGTGGAGTCGCCTCTTCGTGTTTTCGTTTCTTCGAGCTCGACACGGACGAACCGTTTTCCGGGGATGCGCTGCCTTGTTCTGCTTCCTCGACCTTCATGATTGAGAGTTGATGGGGAGTAAATAGAACGAGAGGAAGAAAAAGAAGGTGAAAGCAAGAAAAGCTACAGTACGGGGGGGGGGGGGAAGAAGCTGAACAATAAATTTATTTATTGTCCTTCGATTCCCTTCTCCCTTTTCCTTTCTTTCCAACAACCAACCAAGACCTTCCTTACCAGGGTAGGGTAAGGGGTAAAGGGCAAGGTTTGGTGGGGTTGAAAGTGTATGGTGTGATGATGATGATGATGAGGTTGCGGAAGCGGAGGGGAGGGGGCTGGAAAGTTGCGAAAGGCTGAGTGTGGGCAGAAAAGTTCCGTGGGGCAGTGCCTGCTAGGTTATATAGGCGAGCAAGTTCATGTTTGGGAGCCAGTGGACTTGTTTGTTGGTCAGACATAAAATTATGCACGCAGTCAGATACGGGGTTTCAGGCGCTAGCACCGGCAGTTTTCTTGACCCTTTTTTCTTTTCTTCCTCTCTCTTTCTTTCTTTTTTCCTCTTTTTTTTTTGGAGGGGGGTGGTGGGAAGGGAGAGGGAGAGGGAGAGGAAGGGAGGGAGAGGGGAGTGACTGTGGAATTCTGGGATAGTGCTACTATGCAGCAATGATGCTGTACAGTACTCCTGCTGTACTCGAGTACATAATCTTCAACCGATATAGTTATTCCAACAAGCAAGCAGGACGTGCAAAGCAAAAAAGTAAGGCAATCATGATTGATCGAGTGATTTATTCCTTCAGCAACTCTTACTTGCCTCCTCTTCACTCTCCACATCACTTGACTCGAATGGCCACTACCGGTCTCAGAGCGCCATACCCTATCCACTTGACCTCTTTCATACGCCCCTTGTCAGAAGCTCTCATACGGTGGGCTCTTCAGGTTGATTGATTGAGTGATCAAGTCCTGCCAGTTGCATGCATCATGCAAATTTCCCACGCCATCCCACCCACCCCCGAATCGGAAGTGGATTAATTATGCATGCAACTCGGCGCCTCTACTTTTGTCATGCCTTTCTTATTTACGCGAAAGCGGAACAAGGAGTTGCGGTGCGGCAACATCTCAATGCCTCGCTCTCGCTCGATCGAAGAGAGGCAAGGCAGGCAAGCAAGCAATCAGGCGGGCAGGGAAAGAAGGAGAAAAGAAAAAAAAAAAAGGAGGGGTGGGAGCGATAAATGGGGAAAGGAGGGCGAAAAAGAAACCTGGGCGAAGAAAGGGGGGGGAAGGGGAAAGGGAACTCTCCAGCACTGTAGCCCATACCGGTACAGTACGCTGCTGTGCGAGTATAGTACTGTACTCGTACAGTACCGGTACCGGTACACCTACAATTACCAGCATTCAAATTAAAACAATTAAAATAAATAAAATAAAATAAAAGAAGTTATATTTATATACAGAGTTACATACCAGGATAGATTGGGGGAGAAGGGAGAAGCTGTAACATTAGCCATCCGTTCACGGGTTAGGAGCTATTCCCCCCCCCCCGCGCCGTTTCTAGCCTGTGTCCGAGGGAGTGGGAAAGGGGACAAGGAAATAAAAATGAAATCAGAATTCCACAAAGGTTTCAGGGTCGAGCAAAAGGTTTCCGCGCCCCGCTGCCTAGAGTTTTATACCGCTGAAGGACTTTAGGACTTTGAAGCGACGGTATGATATCAAATCGTGCATGTTAGAGTAACTCTCGCCCACTCGCATTCCAGGTATCCTTCTAATGGGCATGCTAACAAAAAGGTCATCAAGGTATCATAAATTCTCCTCCCCAGCCTTCCATTTATCCATCCAACTATAGTACTCGTAGCCTATGATATGATATTAACTTACCGTATTCCCCTTGCCGGTGAGGGATAGCCTATGAGTAGGAGGGGGTTGGTGGTAGTGGTGGCGGTGGTGGTGGTGGTTGGTGGTTGGCGGTGGTGGAGACAGTTGTGGAGGTGGAGGCTTTTCGCACTCCTTGTTTCGCCAAACAAAAAACAAATTCTTCCCTTAGAGATCGTCTCGGGTAGGGCTGTCACCAACTGAAACTTTCCCACCCTCAACAACAACAAGACCCCCTTAACGATCCCGATATAGTAACGCTGTTCAAATTCATCCCATCCCATCACAATCCAGTGGTCCATCCCTCCATCTCTCCCATCATCCTCTCGCATTCCAAAAAAAGAAAATAAACAAATTACAATCTGCACCGTTACCGTACGATACCGTTGGGTTAAGCCGGTTGCCGTAGTCAACGCACCGTACCGGCAATCCCATGAAAAGGGAAAAGAAGAGGAAGAAGAAGGAGAAGAAAAGAACCGGTACCGCCCAAGGCAAGCTTGCCCAAGGGGATAACGGTACCGGTGCCAGTACGTATCGTACCGAACTTAGCAAAGACTGGAACGGAAAGAGCGTAAAAAGAAAAGAAGGAAAAAGGTCTCTCACTCTCTCACTCTATTCGAAGAATCTGTAACAGATGCGCTTTTGGGAGACCTAAATTTCCACCTTTGAACTCGACATCGCCCCGTGTGTCCCGCAGGAACGTGTGGAGAAAAAAAAATACACCCAACCCGACTCAGTCATGCATAACGCAGCGTCTATTTATTTGTTTGGAAGTGCAAGTTATGTGAGTTGGATGGGGAGGGTAGTGCTCGAGCTATTTGTGTTATGCTACAGTAGGTCAGTCGGTTGGGCTCAGCTTCGAGTACTGTACTGTACCGTGGGCAAGTACGAGTATTGTACCGTACTGCACTGCACTGCACTGCACTGTACTGTACCCTACGAGGAAAGGGTAGAAGAGCCAAGTTGACCAGTTCTGCTCGGATACCGGAGCTAACCGACTTACCCGCCGCCATAAGCAATCGACATCATATCATACGAGTACAATGCGGGAGAGTCCATGCCGTACGGTACCCTACAAGTACTCGAGTGCCGTGGTGCAACCTGTTGCCCGGGTGCATAAAAAAACAATCAACCGGAAACTGTAATTGTGGTGTACGATCGCAGTGCTGTGCCCGTACAGTACGAGTATCGTACAACAGCTACAGTACTGTACAGTGCATGGTAATCCTGCATCTCTCGGGGAGAGGAGGGGACAAGAATAAAAACATGCCGTGACGCCGACTGGCTTGAGCTAAACTGTCCGCAATATGCCAACTAAAACACCTGCACTGCTCACAAGAACAATAGCAACCCCCATTCTTCTTCTCGCCTCAATAGAATTCCTTTGCCGGTAATAGAAGCACCTGGCACCAGCGCCGCATAGCATAAAGTTGTTATGGTAGAGGGGGGGGGGAAAGAAAAGGAAAAAGGAAAAAGGAAGAAGGGAAAAAGAAAAGAAAGCAACCGCGATCGCCAAGCGCTTCGCTCTCCTCCCCTTGCTTAGCCCGCCCGACGCTGCGGCACTCCGAGGCGCGGGAATACCGGTAGACGAGATTATCGACCCGGAATAGAGTTTCACCTTAACGCGCCGGCAGCGGATAGAATGCTCGTAGCAGCGCGGCGGATCCGTGTTTGTTTATTTGCTTGCTTGTTTGAAACGCGGGGAACAAGCGCACGGACAACAAGATTTATGCAGGTGTCTATTATAGGCAGAGGAATAGGATTATCGTAAAGCATTGCTATACGGTAGCTGTAGCGAAGGAGGTCTGCGAATAGTTGCTGGAGATAGGTCAGGCTGGACAATTTGTTGGTATGGGGGTAAGTTGCCGGTGGTCTAGTTAATGCGTTAAGATGGTGGGGTCTCCTTTGTGTTTTTCGTTCCCTTGCTTTGCGGACTATTATTGGGGATCACAGTGCTATATGGGGTACTGCGTGGAGTGCACGGTAGGCTGTATCAATGGATGGACACTGCAGCGTCGCACGCATGCATAGGGAGGGATTTGAAATGCAGCCTGCGAGTAATATGTGAGAGAGACGGGTATGAAAAATATTAAATTCGGACCATAAATATAAGTATTAGTACTGGTGCGGGATTGCGGGTGTCGGCAATCACGATTCAAGCATCTTTCAACGTCGATATGTCAGCCAGTGAGCTAGAGCCGCGCAGGTGACAAAGCGCGCCCTGGTTTGTTAGCTAGTGGTTACTTAAGGGTATGTCCCTCGGACGAAAGAGCCAGTGGTCAGAAAGCCATTGAGCCCAAGTGAGCGACCGACGGAGGTGTAGCTTCGCTCCGGGGGTATCCGTTCGACTCCACGGCGCCTCGGTCCTTTTCTGGTCGGTTGATCATTTATAGAAGGCACGTCTCAGCTATTTACATGTCAGTTACAACCAGAAAAAGGGCATTGATGTCAACCTACCTAATAGTAGGTAGGTTTGCGCGTTTTTGGTTGCCGTTTTTAAAAAAAGTGTTGGATTTTGGGATCCCCGAATGCCTGATGGTTCTCTAAATTCTCAGTTTACAGATCTAGGCCGGGAGGGGGGGAGGGGGCTATGTCAACACCCAGGATAATTTTCTTTTGTTTCAAGAAAGTGGATGAGGAGCTTTGTGTTTTGTATCGAGTGAGAGTGTGTGATGCACCGTACTCGCGGCTTGCTAGGCAGCTGTCCCAAGATGTCAAAGGCTGATAGTGTGGTATCCATAGTTGGGTATTTGGTAAACCGAGATAGCTTGCTTGTGAGCCTTGATAGTATGCAAGACTCCTCTTTGAATGGGCCGATCTGACCGCTCCTATTATCTGGTATTTTTAGTAATTGGGGAATTCTGGTTTCTTACCCCTTACTAGAAAGAAGGGATTCTAGACTGTGATATCGTAGGTCTGGTGAAATTTGCGATGAACTGTGCTTGCTTACGGCACTTCTAGTATACTTATGGGCCTGCGGCCTCAGAGTTTGCGCTACCGCTGGGTATATATCGAGAACACATGGAATCAGCTCAGTCATAAATTCCCGGGCGCTCGCCTGCAGGAAAGAGGGTAATATGTATGCTCAAGAGAGCGGTCCGAGATCCGTAACCCACGGGGTGACCATTTTCCTTCCGGGTTTGCACCCAAACAATATCGTTGCACGAATTTGTTGCTTGGATGACCGGAAATGTTACCCAAGGCAAGACTTGGAAACTGTAACCTGATGGAAGATGCAAATACCCTACAAAATTGCCAATCGATGATTCGCCTCAATTTTTTGGCCCTCTTTGCGTTGGAAATGCAACGGGGGGGTCCACTTAGTGGGGCACTTACCCGTAAGATCCGGCAGTTCTGAACGCTTGCTCCCCTTCTCTCTGCTGCGTGATGAAGTTGACCTGCGCAATTGATCGGGAATCTCCGGTTGATTGCGGCGGCCGTCGTGGCTTGGCTTGCACCCCGGTGTTTAAGTAGGGTGTTGAGTGTGGGTTACTGTAGAGATACCCCAAAGACAGGGGAGAGAAAGCATCATTCCCTAGGCCCAGGGACCGGGGATGCGGTATGTGGGCTATTGGGAGGGAAATGATTTCATGAACAAGTGGCATCACCCCCTAGTAAGGATTGCACTGTATCTCTGTCCAGGGTTGACCACCGTTATCGAAGTCCAGGTGTGAGTGTGGAGTTGTCTCGGGGGATCGGTTGGGACCGATTCGGGGGATCGAGCGGGGAAGTAGACAGGGTGGATCGGTGGTTGGGGAGGAAAGAAAATATTTTGGAATGGACGTGGTTGCACGTGGCCATCAGGAGACGAAAGCGGGCAGCCAAGTGGGGTGAATTGTTGCACAATCGATATCGTATAATACCGGTGCCAGCAGTTGTGTATCCCGCCCGCTTTCCAAGGTGAAACTCAGGCTCGATGGAGTTGTTGCTGGAAATCATCCCAATCGATGCGGTGCCGTAGCGTGGAGGCCTAAATTCAGATAAATACCCGGAAGAGTGGTTCTCCTCCTTTTGAAGGTATAGTGGTATGGGAGAATGGGGGCAGGTTATATAGGGATGGTCTTGGGAGAGATGTTTGCGAATAAAACTTGGGGAAATCTTAGAATCCGTGTGGGCTATTGGTAGCCTGACATTGGTTGGAAGTTAGATGTGACAGCGGGACAAGCGATAGAAGAAGGCTTCGCCCCACGAAGAAATTCTTGAGGAAAAGGTGAAAGGAAAAGCAATTCCCAACACATCAGTGCGGGAGCACATCGCATCTGCGGCTTGGCGTGTGGCGTGAAACTTGCTCACTCTCACCGCGCATGGTTGAGAAATGAGCATCGATCACCATGTCTCGTTCTCGAATTGACTGGTCCGAAAGGGAGGCTCCAAGTGTCCCGTTGGCTTTGAACGGGATGGATGGAAGGCAGGTCGGGGTGGAGAACAAGCGAAAAGTTGTTGGAGGGAGAGCCACTGCCTGACCACTTTATAACCAGCAAGGGATAAGACCAAAGAGGGGGATGCACGGAAGAACCACCAAAGGGGTGGAAACTGTCTCTATCTACCGCAACCACGTTCCATCGACTGAGCCCTTCTTTATCGGGACTCAATTCACGATTTATCGAGACGGTTCGCTTTTTTTCTTTTCTCCTGGGGTTGCGGCATAAGCGGAGGTGTCTGTTTGGCTGTCAGGATCTTGGTAAGAAAAATAATTAAAAAAATCGAACGAGCGACAGGGTCCCCCGAGGACAGGAACGAACCAGTTAGGCAGTGAGCACAGGGACGGATCACTGAGCGGTAAAGTACAGTACTGTGCTCGAGTACACTTCTGAGTACAGCACGGCGCACTATCGGGAGCTACCCTATCGCAACAAGCAATCGCACCTTTACCAGAACAAGTGGTCACAGTAGAGGGTGCCAATCCAGATTGCCATCACTCGGATTCGCCTGTCCGAAAGGGTTCTGAACTGTCAAGATTTTTCTGTTTTACTGCTGTTCTCATCGGACACGGACTTGTGCTGTAAGTCGATCATCATCATCGAAACCCCCGGAAGCGTATGCCTGAATCTACAGTACTCGTACAATATACCATCTTGGGAGGCTCTGAACGCTACCGAGATATTTTTGAAAAGTGGCCGAATTGGTTAGGGTATCCCCACGGAGGATAGTTGAGGACAGCACAGCACAGCCAATAGATAATTTTAAGCCTCCACCACCACCATCACCACTCAGGTTTCCTACCAGTATCATACCTGTCTATCAATTCTTTCACCTCGCAAGCCTGTTACCCCTCTACCCCTCGCATAGATCCGAGTTAGCAGGTTAGGTACTTGCGCAGTCAGAACATTCCAACCCTCTTACTTCTATCTACGGTACTCGAGTACCGGTACCTCATCTTGTTATCTTGCTCTTTGTTTGCCCTGCCTTACTTTTTCGACAAAAGGTCGTTGCTGTCCTCTCGGATTTCGTGGGAAAGAAAGCACTTCCACGACGGCTTCTTGGATTCATTCCTATCGGCCGTTATCTGGCCGTAATAGTTGGAGTTAAGTGAGCATTTTCGCTCGTAAACTTGCAAAATGCCCATCTTAAATGGTGTAAAATTTTCATGGTATGTGGACCCCCCCCCGCATCTTCTGCACCTCTCCTTTGTTTCTTTGCTTTTTCCTTTTGTTCGCGGCCGAATGTCCGGCGGGGAAAGTTATGTCTAACTTAACTGTTGGGCGTGGTAGCGAACCTTGTATGAGAGGCCACCGTTCCTCGAAATGTAATCACACCGATCGGATCCTCGTAAAGGTCCGTAAACCGGGGAGGCCGTTGAGCAGTTGCCCTCACACGCTTTCTTCGTCATCTCCTGGGACCTTTGTTCATTCGTCACCCGGCGCCATTTCGAACGGAGGGGATACTACAGCTAAGACGAACACCTATGGGGAAGCAAATGGGGGAAATGGCTGCAGTTGCGAGGTCACATCGGTGGCAATTCCTAAATGTACTCAACACCTTGTGTTTCTTTTAGGGCGAGTGCGCGTCGGGTTCTGACACCTGAGACCTCTCTAGTTACCTCGTGTGCGTGTGGAGTCCCCGGCTCTACCTCCAAGTCACATGAATTGTGCAAAGCATCAAAATCATCCGCGTGCACTGAAGCAGATTCATTACCTTCACCAGTGTCATCCCAAGGCAGCTCAATGTTCTCTATGAACAAGGTTGCGGGGTCGCGCCACCGGGTCCAGAGGAAAAGCGTATCTGGGGTTGATGGAAGCACGACAAGGAGAGCCAGTTTGATTGGGGATGATGCCGCGATGGAGTTTTTGTGGAGGGCACAACAGGAGGTGGGGAGCCCGGACGTTAAGGTGGAGGAAGGATCGGGATATGGTATGATTGAGACGGATTTGATGGGTGTCAAAACTCGTGGTGATGGGCGGTCGAGATATACAAATGGGGTTTCTCGCGCTGGTGGGCCTGCGAACGGGTTTTCTTTGACAAATACTGAGGATTCCTTCCAGGGCCGAGAATTCCCAGTTGCTGTTGGCGCTACATTTTCACCCTCAAATGGGGTCCCTACGCCAAAGCCTGACATGGGTAATGGCACGGCGCCCATGGATGACTGGGGTTCGACTCTTGATACTCCGTTCTTTGGGGAGACACCTTCAACAGATCCCCCACACATGGCCAAGCCTGGAAGTGGATGCTGCAGCAGTAGCCGCTCAACATCACAAACTCCACAAACCAACTTCGATCGACGCTCATCTACTGTACCAAAGCCCGCGGCCCCTTACTGCAATGGGGGAGCGGGTGGTGGTGGTTTTATCGCCAAACCAGAATTGTCACAGATGCCGGTTCCTGATTCCCAATTTTTTGCTTCACCGCAGCACAATCCTACTTATGGCGCCACCAATCCTCTAGAAGCGTCATTGCCAAGACCCATTGGGCCCTCGACCGTAACTCTCACTGCCCGGGAACTTGCTTGGGTGCAGTACTTAAGAGCTACAGGATTTTCTTCGTCACCTCCTCTGTTGGGAGCTGGGTTCCTCCCGGATTTCCAGGCGACCAGCGGAGGCGAAGAAAGTGGGCAATCGACAAAATGCCACTGTGGACCTGAATGCAACTGCCTAGGATGTATCAGCCACCCGTATAACCCCCGTACCGTTGAGTATGTGAAAGGGCTTCGCACTTTTGCGCTCAATGATTATGATCAGCCAATGAGCCCTTTCCACTCACAGTCGAATTCACCTACCCTCCCTCAACCACATCTCAACGGGTCAGCAAATGGGGTGGGGGAAGCCGGAGACACCATTGCTTCAGCTCACAGACATACTGCGACCACTAGGGCGAATATCAACCTAATTATCCAGACCCCTCCACCCCCACCCTCACCAGACCGGGAGAGCTCTGCCGGGGCCCCCGAGAATGGAGTCTCGCCTAGTGCCTTTGTGTTGGTGGACTATCAGATTGGGCCGTGCTCTGAGGCTGAGACGGCATGCAAATGTGGGGATGGATGTATCTGTCTTGACTGCTTATCCCATGGCAAGAACTACGAAGCGGAAATGGTCAGGAACGCTCAGTGGGACACCAGTGGCCTCAATGGTGCTGGATCGGAGGCGGCAGTGGGTCCGGACTGGTGGGATTTCGGGAGTAACGGTCCTGTTGAAGCAAACTCATGGAATTCCGTTTAGATTTTCTTCTCAGGACAGCTGTCAATATTTTGTTTGATTGTTTAGGTGGGCGTCGCATATGGTTGTGTTTATCTTTCGCACGGCGTTTTGGAGATCCGAGTGGGGGAAATTGGATAGATATGCGGTGGTCGGGTAATTTGGATCACGTTCCCTCCTGCTATTCTTATTTTCCCCTGAGCGTTCACTATCTCCCTAAGGTTTACTTCTAGGTTGCGTGGGTACCTGTGCTGTTTCTACTGACCATCTCGTCGATATTCTCTGCACTAAGGCTTTACTTGTTTTTTTCTTTTCTTCTGGGGATGGGCCAAAAGTTTTCATTGGATATCTTATTGCATGTACTGTAGTTTGGACTATTTCCCCCTCCATGGGTCTATTGGATGATTATAGGTTGTACCGAGATGGTAGCAAGTATGGTATAATAAATTATATTGGAACCACAATGCACTGATACCGCCTTCAAAGCGAAATGACTGAGGGCCCTGAAGTTGTGAAGTCGAGTGCGTTTTGACGTCAATCGGGCCCTCAGAGACCCTGGGGCCGCCATGTGACAGCACGTTTTACCCCACGGATTGGCCGACTTTCCCCAAATCAAGTTACAGTTTTCACAATCGCACCTCATCAGCAACTACCCCCCAACCACCACCGCCGGACGAACACTACATCTCACAAACATATCCATCATTAACAATCACCCGCTCCGCACGGAACCCATCAATGTCAATCCTAGTAATCAACCCAAACTCCAGCGTTTCCATGACCAAAGCCCTCGAGCCGGCCATTGAAGGCCTCGGGCTCCCGGCCTTAACATGCAGCTACTTCACCGCGCCACCACCTTCCCCAGCATCAATCGATGATGCCGAGAGCTCCAAGGAAAGCGCATACGTATGTTTCCCGTTGCTCTTCGAGCGACTGGCTTCCCACGACGCCTTCGTTGTAGCGTGTTACAGCGACCACCCGCTTGTTCCGCTACTGCAGGTGCACACTGGTAAACCCGTCATCGGGATTTTCCAGGCCAGCGTGACGCAAGCTCTGCATGTTCTTCCGCGAGAGAAGAAGTTTGGGATCGTTACCACGGGGAAGGTTTGGGAGGAGTTGCTGACGGACGGGGTGCGTGGGTTCCTGGGTGGTGAGGAACGGTTCGCGGGCGTCCAGAGCACCGGGCTTACGGCGGGGGAGCTGCACTCCGTGCCTGAGGAAGAGCTGAGGCGGAGGATGGAGCATGCCACAGAGAAGCTGTTGGAGAGCGGGGATGTGGGGGTTGTTTGCCTGGGGTGTGCGGGGCTGGTCGGGTTGGAAGAGATTGTCAGAGGGGTTGCAGAGAGGTTGGGTGTCGAAGTTAAAGTTATAGATGGGGTTGTTGCTGGCGTGGTGACTGCCGGGGGATTGATGAGGTGCAAATATTGATATTCCCAGGTTCTGTTCTAGAAGAGTGACTTTTGAACACTTTTTTTGATTGTGGTGTTTGGTTGAGGTGGTTTAATTAAAGGTATAGATTACAAAATGAGAAAGCGAACTCCCGCCTGCTTCAGACAAATCATGGAGACTCCCATCACTTGCTACCCCTTCGTAGCTGCTCGCCCACCGTAGCTTCAATAATACAAGATGATTATCTGAAGCAATTAAAACCACAACAGCTAAACCTAGCATGTGGCCGAACACCATGCCTACTAGCAGAGACGCCCCATCCAAACCTCCTCCCCCCAAACCCTTTGCTGTAGGTGAAAGGCATTTTTTGTTTGTTTAGTTGTTTGTAGGGCTTGTTTGCGTTCTTTGTTTTCGCTCGTTCGTTCTTTCGTTCGTGCTGCTCAGAACTACTGTTAGCTCTCTCCCCCACCCTACTACTCGTATGAAGCTCTGGCCGTCGCATGGATATGACGTGATAACTCACCAAAGGGTATCCGTAGTAACAATATGTCTTTCAAACCATTCTTGTATTTGAGTAAGCTATTTAGCGGAGGAGAGAAGAAAAGGAAAGGAACCGGCGGGAAATAAACCCCTTCTTAAACACCCTGTTTCCCCCTGCCCCTGTAGAGAAATCAGGGACACAACTAGATTACATGAAGGAAGGAAGGAAGGAGCCTGAAGCTGGGCGGCGTAATGGGCTGTTTTCTGGTTTTCGGGGGTGCTTGGACCATGGATAGCTGTGACGTAATTTGATGCTTTGAGGCAAATACTCGAGTCCTATTGTGGCTGAGGTTCTGGACAGTTGTGGGAGTGGCCCATTATGGCCGGGTAACCGAAGAGTTGGAAGCTGGACCCAAAAGGAGGGACCGCGGACTATTTCTTTCATCTTCACCACTCCCGACATCCTCCCCTCTCCCAATCAAGCAGCTCATCAATTGATCAGCCATCTAGTCCGGGAAATGGCGCCGAGGAATTGCTAACAGGAGGTATGGTCTACCCCCCCACACTTTTTCTCAAGTTCTCGCCGCTTCGTTTTATCTTCTTTCTCCCAATTGCAATGATGATTTCCCGAGTAATGCATAGTTCAACAGAGATTACTAGTCTATGTTGAGACATCAACCATCGTCTTTCGCTCCTATCTGATTGCTTTGTTTTGCTTCCTTCCGAGTTGCGATTGTATCTGAGCGGCTTTGCCGAGTGTGAAGGCTAATTCGTTCGGTGCAAGCACGATAGGATAGATAGGGATTGCTTGATTTGGAGTTTTTGGAGGAGAGAACGCCGTGCGAGTGGCGCCGCGGATTTGGTGCGACACTGGTACTTTGAAGGTACTTTATCCTACTGCAGAGGATGTTTGGAATTTTCAGCACTAGTATCTGCGGTGGATGCTAGGCCTAGGGAACGAGGTCTCACATAGCCCCCAGTTTGTTTTCTTATTCGGTGGGATAACAGCGGTAATCGTCGTTTGGTTCTCCACTTTTCGTGAAAGTTATCCCGAACTTCCCATCTCCCCCAGCTCATCTCATAAGTCGATCCATCCTTATTCATGCCTATAGATAAAACAATATACCAAGCACTCACCCACTCCCCAAAAGCCAAGGCCTTTGCGAAAAGAAAAGAAAAGAAAAGAGACCCCGTCCTCTGCCTCGCTCGATCCATGATCCCTTCTCCATTCATGGATCTAGAGCTGGATTACTGCTGTACCGCCCCACAAGGTTGGTGCCATGTAAAGGGACGAGAATAAACACGTATATACGGCATCCTCGATTTGAGTACGTTCCTGCCCATAGCGAGGTACGTAATTATCGACGATACAATTATTTCCATTCCATTGGTTCCCAAGAAGCAGTGAAGGGGGCGGGGGGGGGGGGGTGTGCTGTGAGATTTTGCTCTCGGCTGAATCGATAGAGGCTTGAGAAGGAGAAGGTAAGAGATTGGGCCGGGCCTGGTTTTTGGTTGTTGTCGATACGTGCTGTGGTCCCGGGGTAGCCGGGGTTGGTATCTTCTATGGATATCATCCCCGTATCATACACCGTTTTGGTAGTCCTTGGAACCGCATTCTAACACCCATAACTATGGGCACCAGTATTGAGTGGTTTGGGAACGTTCGTTAGATGATTCTCGTAACTGTTCCTGGTGCTTTGACTTCTCCCCCTTGGCCATCTTAATCATGCGGGCTCACTCGGTGTTTTCGCTGAGGTCCATACCTAGAATTTTCTTTCGAGCCGGACCCGCCGGGTAGACTAATGTATCCGGAAGGTGCGACCCCCGGTTGGCGGTGTGTGAATCCGGTCACCTGATACTCACGCTGCGCCCAGGACATGGCGATGTTTAGCGTCCTTGCTTATCACCCACATAACACCCCTTTATTCTCCGTTCTTTGGTCCCGTTCCAATTGTACCCATTGATTCTCCGTGCCCAACACGCGTTCTTAACCCCCGGAGTCCACACCGGATGCTCTCCATCCACCTTCACCAATTAGATCTTCTGGGCAGAATATGCGGTTGCTACAGTTCTCTAACCTACAGGGCCCACAATTTAGGTCACCCATTGTGAATACTCAAGTTATCCTTTGCATAAAGCCATCACATTTATCGTTTTTTTTTTTCTTTTCTTTGAAAAGAGTTGAGATTTGTTCGTGTGATAAAGGGTTAGAGACTAAAGCGGTTAAAGTAGATGATAATCAATGACTCCGAAGACATATAGATTACTTCAAACTAGAAATATACTCTCCGCCTATTACTTTTTCTTCTCTTCTTCTCTCTCTTCATATTGTGTCTGCCCTATTTGTTATTGCCGCTGCTGCTGCTGTTGTTGTTGTTGTTGCCGTCTAGGTTTGGAATATTTCAGAGTTAGACCAACAGAGGAGATTTTGAAACCCGCCGTTTGTAAAAAAAAAAAATTAAAAAAATTTCTCCTTCCTGCTTGTGTACTTTTGCTTTCGACAAGGGTTTTTTTATATATTTATCTCTCACTACCTGACAATTGTTAGTGATGTGGGTGTGGGGGGTGGGGGGTGGGATATAAAACTTGCGAGATTATTCTCCGTAATCAATTTACTTCTCTACATCGTTCTCCTCCTCTAGCTGGGCTCCAGTTGCTGACGGCTCGACTCCCTCCTCTTCCCTCCTCGGGGTCGTCCAGCCTAAGCTCTGGAATGGGACCCGGAAGGTTGTGATAATAGGAAGAGGGGTCGTCATCATAACAGTCAAAATTCACTTCTTCCCCCTCTCCCTCCTCCTCGTATCCCTCATGCTCGTAGTCGTCCGGAACGTAGTCATCATCGCTCTCATACGCATATCCAATGATAGCAAGCTGTCTAGTAGCATTTTGGGTAGAGGCGGTGCTACCATTTACGTAATTAGCGGAGGCGGTGGAGGGAGGAGGAGGGAGAGGGGGATGAGGGGGAGCGGGATGGGAGGGAAGAGGAAGAGGAGGAGCGGGAACAGTGGCACTGCCGGATGCGTAACCGGGAGCCCGACCCCCGTTCTGACCAAAATGGTTGTTTTGGACGCCAGGTGGGGCAAAGCCAGGCAGTTGGAAGTTGGGATTTTGACCGCTGTTCTGGCCCTTCTGGGTAATGCTAGCAGTTTGAGCACCGGGAGGGAAGCCGGGTTGCTGATAATTGACGTTAGGCCCACTGACCGGAACAAAGTTGGGATTTTGGGCTCCTGGGGCGAAGCCGCGGTACTGAGGGGTAAAGCCACGGCCGTAGTAACCGCTGTTGTAAGTGCCAAAGTTATGGGGTCTAGCTTGAGGCATGGGCCCCCGTCCGTAATATCCCCCGACGAACTGGTTACCGGGATAATGTCCACTGGCAAAGCCAGGGGGGGGAACATTATTGTAATTATTACAGATGGCGGTTTTGGGGTTGTGCTGGTAGCCACCGACCTGGTGGCTCCTGAAGTAGTGGTCATTCGCAAGACCTCCGTTCGGCTGGGGGATTCCAAGAAAGGGCAGTGGGGGAACGGGCCTAACACTCTGGAATCCGGTAAATTCGGGAGCCTTCGAAGACGAGGTAGCGGTCACTCCGGTCCCAGGAGCATTTCCGGCTCCGCCGGGGCCGTGCGAATTGTTGGTCCCGAAATGGCTACCAAGAACTCCATGTATGGGGCCGGGGGGTGGGACCCTAGGGGAGCGGGTACTAGCACCTGTGGCTGATCTGGCAGCGGAATCGGGAAAGGACTCTTGGCCGTAGTAATGTGGATAAATTCTAGGCATGGGTTCAAGGTTGTCACCCCAGAGGTACCCGATCTTGGACCAATTCTCAAAATAGACATCATTAGACTTCCTGGCCACAGCAGGGGGCTGCCCCCCCACAATTGACCGGGGGAATGGAATAGCCGGCTTAGGATAGCGAGAAGTATCAACCCTGTAGTTTGGGACAGGGCCATGTTCAAACGCCCTTCTCTTTGAAACAGCCCTCTCGGCACGAATTTCAAGACTGTTTTGAAGCTCCTGGATCCTCTGCTCTGTCATTTTAACACGGAAGGCGACCCATTCATCAAAATTGGCGATGTCCACCATGCTGTAGGGGAAGGAACTCTGAAGATTCAGTTTGACCTCTTTGAACCTCTCATACTCCGCCACGAACATATTACGACTCTCCGACTGGTATACGCGTGGAGTCCCGGTACTGTGCTTGGATTGTACGAGGGCGGTTGACTGCAAGGTCAGAGCTGGTCTTCCAAGACCGTGTATCGTGCCGTTTGTGGAGTGTGCCATCTTGGTGTATGGGTGGAAGGAGTAAGTGACAGGGCAGAGTTTGGATTCGAAAACGAATACGGCAGCCGTTGGATTTAAGGAGACTTGAGCATCCTCAGCGGAGGTGGCCGGAACCAGGGCTAGAGCATTGTCGCCGTTTGACGTCTCCGACGTCGCGACAGTCACCACCTCTTCCTCTGCATCCGACATGTCTCAAATAAAAATAACTAATAATTTGGTTCTTCCTGGATTCAGCGCTATTGAGTTCTGTAACCCCCCTCCCCAATTACAATGACAAGGTTATCAAGTCAATAAAATTGAATCGATGAAACTGGCAAAGCTAGCTCCAAAGGAAAAATTATTAGCAAACCTAACATAGAAAAGCAGAGGGTCAATATCAATAGGAGCAATGGTGATCGCGCAACAGAAGCGTCACAATATCAACTGTGGAAGTAGTGAGGATGCGAGCGCCAAATGACAAATCTCAATGGCAGCACTTTCAATTCTCAGAGGATCAAGGAAGCCCACTCACACACGCAAAAAAAAAAAAAAAAAAAACAAGGTATCAGATGGCGGGCCTGCATCATTCTATTTTGACTAGGGGCAAAACTGAAAAGATTATATCGGATGCATACCTTGCGTGAAACGCCTTCTTCCCGTAAGAGAAGCCCACGGGTGGTGGTGTTGCTGATTTTCAATTGACAAGGTGTGTAGGGATTACAGCCCAGCGAGAGCGGTTGCAGTGGGTGTGGAGATGGGGGTGGGGAAGAGAAAGTTGCCTGTGCTTAAATAAAATACCAGTTATTAGTGGGAAAATGCGTTTCAATAGTAAGGGCTTCTGCGCTCAAAATCCTGGACACGCTACCTCTGCCCCACCGTTCAGGAATATTTTAGCTGACGGCTTTGGCATCAAGAATCAGTCACGAGCCCTAATAGTACATTCTTTATATGAGAGGGAGGAGAGGCGCCCACGGCCTTCTTGCCTATGGAAAACTCTATACACGGTTGTTGGCGAACCCAGCCAAACCTGAATCTTATGGGTCAAAAGGACCACAGTTTTTCCTAGGGGCGAGTGACACCTTGTGATCGTCAGTTTAACGTGCTCTAGAGCGGTAAGAGTCTACCCGAGTATATATTTGATTGGGAAGTTGATTAGATGCAAAATAAAATCACCCCATGTGTGAAACTACGGCATGATTGCTTGCGCTTTCCCCCCGTCTAGTCATTTCAGGTTTCTGAATGCAGAGAAATCTCAACAATTTTCAAGCCTCAGAACATGATAACACTGCAACCATGAAACATGGCATATTATGGAACACGATTCGAGCAAGAGCATCTGCCCATATTATTTTGTACGCGGAGTAAGGTCACCCTCAACATGGGCATGAGTATCAGCCAAAACTTATCAAGATTCCTCTTCTTTACCCCCTCTCATCCCACAACCCTCACTGTCAGCGGTCGTGACAACAAAGGAGTACTGCATCTTTTCAAAAAAAAAAAAAAAAAACTACAAGCTTCATGATTTTTCCACACGATTCGATCCACAAACCACGGAGCCCACTGCTAAACCAACCTTAAGCCCATATGAACAAAGTTGACCACAGACAATTGTTAAACCACCAAGTCAACGATTGTCACCGCCGCACCCTGCTAACCTGGACCGGATTGTGCTCCCCCCATTTCCATCCTTCAAAATCCTCCCTTACCGTGTTAACTTGAATAAGAGCAACGTGTCTCAGGACGTCAGACTTTCCTATTCTGTCGGGGACGGGAGAAAATAACGGCAAAAGAAAACCACGCATTACCGAGACAAGAAACCTAGACACTGTACGAGGTGTCTCTCCTATTCAAGTTAATATGGGTCCCTCACTCATCCCAGCCACCCTTACCCCCCCCCCCCAGATTTCTATGTTCAGTTGTTTCCACGCCTTCGGGTGCTACCAGAAAGCTCTTTTTGAACGGCACTCATGAAGATTTTAGTGTACGGCACAACCAGTGCGACCAGAGGAGTTAATGCGCCATAGAGGGGCCATTCGCCACCGAGTGGGTAGTCCACCGGGGGGGGTTGATGGGAAGAACGAACCCGAGGAGGAGGGTGTGGCAGTTACCCCGGCACGTTTTGATGGGTAATAATAGAGGTAATCTTCCGCGCACGCAAACGATGAAGAGGATGCGATTATGGTAACCAAGGCCTGGCTATGGGAAGCATTGGTGGATGCGTTTGAATGCCTTCACGAGCTTCTCAGCTCGTGCGCCGCAGGCAAGGACTGAGTATGATAAAAATATTTTATTCTACTGGAATGCATGACCAAAATTCACCACGGGTATACCGATATGATAGGTTAAAATACTGCCGCTTACCCGCAAGAGCTCCAGAGCCAACCATGCGAACCATTTTTGCAAATCGAACAGTTGGGGAAAGCAGGGTGTGCTAGGATTAGGACGCGCACTGACGCTGTACTTTTAATTGATTGGAGATAGCCCTTTATAATATCATATACATTTTTTTTCCCAGGATGCCGATATAATTACTAAGGCTTATTATAGTTCTGAGTAGGATGGCAATTCCCGCAGTCTACCGTACTCGAGTACTGGTACTCGTACAGTGCAGTCAGTACCCGGGTACCCAATTGAACCTAGTGAAACGTCCCAGAAATCGACGCCATAGTTGCGTTGCGACAAGTGCGGTGCTGAGTGCTCGCACACATTCACTGCCCCCACAACCAACTTTGGAAAAGGCAAGACCCGGGACGGAACCTTGCCAAGGTAAAGGAGAACGGGAGAAACCACGCTGATAACCCCGGGATCCCAAAAGTACAAGTACGAGCAAACCCGGTACACGGCTTAATCACCAAAAGCTCAGGTGTCAGCTATCGTTTGGATCACACATTCGGAGTCTTTTTAACGAATAGCGCCGTCCGCGACCGCCAAGGACGAGTGATCGGAGATGAGCCCTGGCCCGGAAATGAAACCAAACCCTCCGCTCAAGGCAGACACCGGCACAGTACTGCACGGTAGCTGAAGTCTGTACCCGAGCATACGCTCGTAGGAAAACGGGAGCCAGAGGGAATTACTGCCCCGCGGTTGTCAGCCGGATAGTCATTGAATTAGAGTTGATCCACGAGCTTCCAAATATCCTTCCTCAAAACTATTTTAAACCTTGGTATGGGAGTCAGCTCCAGCACCCTTTTTTTTTTTTTACTTTCTCTTTCACCCTTTTCCTCCTACACACCCGATTCGACTGGTGTCCCGAGCATCGGGTCAGCTCCCATACCACCGCAGTATTGGGCATCTTGGTTTCTCCCTCCGCGGGTAGCTCGTCCCAGGAGTGTTTGGATTTATGGGAGAACACAAATCTGCTGCGCCTTAGGAGCTATTTCATGAGCACCAAAGGCAGAATTGGCAATCTCCCATTATGCTTGCGGTTGTAACGGCTTCAGCCTCCGGGAAAGGCTTGTTTGGAAATCCCCGTGTCACGTTACCCGAGAATGGTTACACTGCTTGTACTCGAGTACCGTATCATCATCACACTCTGTAGAGGCGGGTCAAGGAATTTGACTCGTGTTGTAAAAGTGCTGTATGGCACGTTACAGGGCCTTGCACAGCATACCGTAGCTGTTTTTTTTTTCTTTCCTTTTTCCTTTTTCCTTTTTTTTTTTCCTTTTTTTTGGCTGGAAATGAGGGGAAACGGAATTCGCTTGCATGCACAAGTGTTCGGCTACACGGGGGAAGATAGCCGCGAGTGAAGTCTGCACACTGTGTTCGAGTACTTTCTGTATCTCATAGGCACGGTGCTCGAGCTGTAGAGTTGTTGGATTTTTTCTATTTTTTTTTTTCTCTTGAGCTGCATCACAACTCCAGGTGCCATAGGAATCATTCTCTACCAACCGCTTGCATCGCACGGGTTCTATTTTTACAAGAACGGGAAAGGCTCTGGTAGCGAGCCTATGATACCGTACCGACGAGGTGTTAGTGGATTGAATGTATTAATTTTTATTGGAAGCCGTGCTCCACCACCAACTCGCAAACACATTCCATGAAGGAACGATGCTTGCGGGCAACAGCACTTGAGCCCACCATTGGCTCGGGGTAAACAAACAGTGAAAGTCATCTCGAGTTTCGCGGGAGGATTTTTCTTCCTGCACGGACCTAGCATTGCACAAAGGCGTTCCC